TTCTATCTATAACTTAAAATCATTTTAAAGAGTATGTTCAGAAATCTGGTAACATATAAGTGATTTTAGTTGGTAGATAGTGACTAGCAGGGGAATCTAGTATGCGCATTTCGTCCTATCTGGGACTCGTCATCTGGATGTCAATTTCATGCGCATCCTGGATTCCACCGCTAGTCACCATCCACCAATTAACCTCTAATTACATGCTCAGACATCGTTGAAGCATCTGCACAAGAAGCCGACATGTCAACTTGAGACCGAGCACTTCGGTTCAGTCAATCGACGGGAAAATCTAAAATTCAATTAATTATAATTGATTTGTTTAGGATGTAGGTAGCTGGAGAGAATCCAAAAAATAAAACAGGCTCCTTTTATCCTGAAAATATGTTCGTTCTTACTTTATTCAAACTAATAAAGGGGACCTGATGTAGGATTGCAAAATATCTGTTTTAAGTTAGTTTTTATTTCACTTCGATTGATGATATTGAACCGAAGTGTTCGAACAATGTTGACCTCTCAGCTCCTCGTACAGACGCCTCGACCATGTCTAAAGATTATCTTGTCATTCGGTGGATGGTAACTGACGGTAGGATCCAGGATGCTTTAGCTTTTGAAACGATGGGTGCTGGGTTCTACTCTTAGTAGGCGAAACATCACTAACTCAGTAAGCAGCTACATCCAGATGACGATCCCCAAACAGAGTGAGGTGAGTATCCTGGATACCACTGCAGGTCACCATCTAACAAATGATAATTTCCAAAATATGTTGGAATATTTTAATTTCGAGTGTGGTAATTAGTAGAAGTTTTCTGTATTTTACTGGAGTTGAAAATAAGCTTTAGTCAGCATTATAAAGGTAGTGCAACTTTTCTTATTTCATAAGGTTGTGGCTGCATTTAAGAGAAATCATTGTACACATGCATTTATACAGGTCGATGGAAGCTGAGTTCCATCTTATGATATCCGTGGTTTGTATGTATTTCCTGGATATCATTCCAGTTAACATTACAGAGGAATTAGGCAAGTAGAATTATTCAGGTGTAGGTTTGTAAATTGTTCTCATTATGTCAGATGCTATTCACAGCTTTGTAATTACGCTGTCGGACAACTTATAAGCACACCATATGTGGGACCACTAGAATTATTTTTGAGTGGAACAGGAATTCAAGCTAAAGCACTGAAGTGTCAGCAACAGTAGTGTCTATTTTACGCGGCCAATCTTCTCTTTTTATCCAGCTTGCTGCCGGTTAGGCGAAGTTTAGGAGTGCGTGGGCTAGGGATCGAAGCCCAGACCACACATGGCGAGGTTGGCGATTATTCTACAGCTGAACCACCCACGCATACTTTACAGATTTTTTAAATCAAAATTCAACTGTGGTATATAGTACAGTTCTACTATTCTTAGCAGGTGTTTAACAGCTGTTCATTTCTCTTGCAATTGAAGTCAGTTAATTAGCTGTTGCTAATTTAGGGGAATTGAGAGGAATAAGGTAAGTGAACGCGGAAATTTTCACAGGTTCTAAAGACGTCTTCATTTCAAATCAATATTTTATCCATACTTCCGAAGTAACTGAAATCAGAGATTATCTAGCACCTATTTAGCCATGTTTCCAAAGAATGATGAGATAATGGGTTTCAGAAAGGAGAAGAGACACCCGATTAATACTAGTTGGTTGAACTTTAATGTGAAGTGTTTATTATTTTCTTACTTTTGATATTGTGATAAACTGATTGAGAATCAGAAGTAATGTGAAAGTCATTTTTGTAAAGTGCACGATTTGTGGCCTCTAACTGTTGTTTTCTTTGTAAACGATTTACTGTCTTACTCTATAGTGTCATCATTTGAAGTTTGGTGTTTTGTTTATTTAAAGTATAATATTTCTGAGTCGTCATTCGTGAAAAATGGCTCTGGGTAGACCATAGGACTTCCAGCGTGAGCTTTGAAGTTTCCGTAGCAGTGGTTTCATTTTATATAGGGGGTGGGGTGGCTAGGCTCACATCCTGCCTTCTCTCTTCACCGGCCTTACTAGAGGCTTAGCAATGTTTAGAAGTCAGTTGACTGGAAGTGAAACCGTGATTCCCGTGCGCCAATGGAGAGCATCCTACCACTGAACCGCTGGCGCACTGAATGTCATGGATGAAGTTGGAGATATTAGATGGTTGGAGGCAATCGGCAGGAAGCTTTCAACCTAGGTTACGTGCCAGTTGGCACTCATCAGCAAGGCGTATCTGCAACCTTGAGGGAACTGATGTCCCTTCTGAGATTCGAACCCGCGTCACCCAGTGCAGCCTGCAGTCAGGGACGTTACCACTTAGCTATTCGGGCTCGCGATTGACCTCCTGGAGGACTGTAGTGGATATTTTGATTTGACACTAGTAACTAGTGTGATATGTCTAGTCCTCTCTTTGGTGCAGAATGAATTCTATCAGTCAGGTTGTAATGTGGCCACCATTCTACCTAGAGGTGGTGGCCACATTACAACCTGACTGATAGAATTCATTCTGCACCAAAGAGAGGACTAGACACATCACACTAGTTACTAGTGTCAAATCAGAAGTTGGAGATAAAATTATCATGGCAAACCAATTGAGTTACATAGTGAAACCCACTACACGTTACCTATGTAAATATGCCACTTTAAGATTTTTGAGGTAGTAAACACACTAATATGCTGTAAGTGCACAAAAGAAACCTTAATTGTCCCTAAACGAAAAATAAACCCTGTTATACTAGTGCAACCTTTACGTAGACGAAAGTTATATATGTATTCTCCAGATTCAATTAATTCTTGCTTCAGTTTAAATGACTGGATTTTGTTTCATTTGAATTGCGTGAAATATCATCTATTCCTATAAATATATAGATTTTTTAGGAACAGATAATCCACAATAGGTGTGAGATTTTTCTGTTACCAAACGTTTGATACAAGTGCTTTTATGGCAGGCACCCTTCAGATTTTTGTCACTGTTTTCATTCGTTTGACTGGCTGACTGGTTTCCCCATAGAACTTTGCACAGAAGTGCAGCAGTTCCAGTTACCAAGCTTCATGAAGAACACAAAGGAAGAGAAAACAGTGAAAAAAAGGGTTCAGAAGACCTAAAATAAGTAGAAAATTGAGGGAGGAAAATTATTAGCATGGGAAAACAGTATGGTTTAGTGGATATGGTAGAACACAAAGAGTGAATGCATCGCTGTGCCACTGAGAATAATTTCGAGCCACATCACCAAATGTCTCCAGTTATTGGTTCTTGGCATACGTAACACATGTTCCAGCAGTGCCAGTCGACTCGCCTTCACTGAGGGACAGAACAAACTGCTGAGCAGTACACACGTCCTTTGATCTGCAGTCGGATATCGCATCCATGCCAAAGATGGTGTAAGTTAGAGAATCCTTCACAAAGCCTTTGTATCCGTGAGGTGATTTCGCCGGCATTCAGCCCGTTGGAGCTACTGTAACTTTTCGAATAGGTGAAGTGGTCAGCTCACTCCACCACTTCACTCCCTATCTTCAAGCTAGGAATCGATGTAGTCCAGCTCCAAAGCATCGCATTATTTTGACTGCAGTAAATCGTATGCCAAACATTCGAACATCGCTGTTCAGGGCATTTGGAAGACTCTACATTTTATCAGTGTCTTCACCTAGGAGGACTGTGTCATCCGCATATTCTAAGTCAACAAGACTATTTACTGGTAACAAGTGAATCTCTTAACTCGTTGAAGTCAGTTAGAGTCAATTCCGTTAGCACATCAGTGGTGGAATTTAACAGGAATGGAGACAGTAGGCATCACTGACGGATACTAACTGTTGTCATCACTTCATAGAATGACTCTCCGTAAACTCTCATACGGCTGCGTAAATTCGAGTATAGTGGCTTGATTAGTGTGATATACTTTCTGGGCACTTCCTTGACAGCCGAACATCGTTAGAGTACCTCTTGGTCAACGGAATCGAATTCCACTTCAAGGTCAAGAAGTATGACGATTATTGGAGGCCGGTAAGTATGCTTCTGTTCCAGAATCTGTCTAACGGTGAAGATATGATCGATACCTCCCTTCCCTGGTCTAAAGCCTGCCTGATTATCTCGTGTTTGTCCCTTCCTAGCACCGCTTAGTCTACGCATGATTATTGAGCCCAGAACTTTAGATAATATATTGGTCAAGCTAATCCCCCTGTGATTATCACAGGAAGACTTGTCTCCCTTCCTGTATATCGGGATAATCAATAACTTACACCAGTGTAACGGGACTATCATTGATTCGCAAACACTACATAATGCCTTACTTAAGTCAGACAGCAATTTGTCACCATCCTCCTTAAAAACATCTGGGGTGATCCCATCAGGCCCTGCTGCTTTACTTCGTTTTTTTGATTATAGCTTGAAACCACACAGTATTTCTGGTACAAGTATGGAATTTTCAGCATGCGATATCGGTAGCCCAAATTTTGCAGGCCGACCAATTGATATCAGGTGTGCGTCAGCAAGGGATCGAACCCCGGACCATGTGCATGGTCGGCGAGAGTCCTAACCGCTGTGGCACCGACGCGCACAGACTAGAGACCCCAGTTACAGATGTTGAACTGGTATCTACACCCCATTCACGTAGGTATTGGATGCTGGACAAGTTAAGCTTTCATTCGTTTGAACTTCGCATACAAGTTTAGATATGGAGATATGAAGATGGCCGGTTGAACAACAGCATTAGGATGTATATTGCGTTGTTCGAGGAATACTGTCAGCGTTCAGGCATTCTTTTTGGCTGTTTATAAGCTCGCTTTTACAACGGTACAACTAACTGATTTGAATTTGTCAATTAAAGTTGAGAGAAACACAATGATTATAGCTGTCAGACTACAATAATATAATTTTTCTGTTTATTTCGATCAAAAATTATCTACCAAACAGAGTTTTACTGTTATCAGTAGACTAGAGAATTTTATGATCAAAAATTATTTCTATATCAAGCGGATTTTATTGATTTTTAATTCAAATAAGCTTACCCACTGCTTGGACTAAAGCTTTTGTAGCTGAAAAGTTGATCAAGCTTTCTGGTAACTGTTGAAAAAATTGTTTCAGTAAACTTGTAATCACTGGTAACTGCACTAACGACAGTCTTTGGATGGCTAATGTACAACCTGAAATTGTAGACGAAAAAACAGTATTTAAAAGATGAAATACCTTTTCTGTTAGATAATATAATAGAATGACGTATTATTTTAAAAAACGTGACGAACATTTTGTGTAGAAACTACAAAACAGATAAAGTGCTCTAGTACAGCTGTGTTTTCACAAATTACATATCAGGAGTCGATTCTAGGCCAAGTGTCAGAATCTAAACTTCTTCATTAAACTACTCAGTCAATAGTATCCCTTCAGTAAGAATTGGCTGTGTGCAAGTTAGTCAGCTGGCGACAGATAATGAAACTACGAAATTCTTATTGCTCGTCAAGTATGATTGAAAGGATTCGCCACTTGACTATGTCATTCAGAAGTAATCATAAACGTCAAACACAAATATGATAACCCTTAGGAATGAGTTCGAAAATACGAAGCTTTATCTTCAATATTTTGTAGTGGAAACTTTTGGAAATTCATTGAACGATGAAATAGTTTTTTTTAAGTGAAGCTATAAGTAATCCTCGTAAACTGTTCTTGACTCAAATTTCTTTAGTGAGTACTTTCACATGCGCTTTTCCCTATTCAAGGCATCACAATTCACCATGATTTGTATCAGTGTTTCTACTGAAGTTGAAGTCGTAGCAACATCCGCTGGAATACTCATTTGTGAAGGATACAACTTGCAAGAATAATAAATACTTTCAAAGTAGTATGCCCTTCACTTAAAACAGTAGTAAGACAAAGCTGCCTACTAACACCAATGACATATCTGATTGTGGTGAATCGGATCATGAGGAAGGTCATGTGTAGGGAGCGAGAAGACGGAATACACTAGTTTAACAAGAGGACTCTAGACGATGTGGATATCGCAAACGATTTATGTTTAGTATCAAACAAACTCAGAGATCTAAAGGCATAAACCAAAAGTTTTCAGAAGGGTCCGCAAAGACAGGACTTTAAGTGAACGTAGAGAAGACAGACGTGGTGAAGAAATATAACCTACAGTATCAACAAACACCAATCACCATGAATGGATGAAGTTTGAAGGAAGTCACCTCCTTCACTTATCGCTTCAACTACACGCAACAGGACGGATGAGGATGTCGAAATCGGAATGGGAAGAAAGAAGAAACAAGACAAAGAATGGCTCTCAACAGACACTTGGAAACTAATAGAGGAGAGGAGAAAGGTGAAAGAAAAAATGATTCAATGCAAAGATGGACAAGAGAAAGAGACGCTGAGCTCAACTTACACAGCACTGGACAAAGAAGTGAAGAAGAGTGCCAGGAAGGATAAAAGACGATTCTACGACAACCTGGCTACTGAAGCTGAGAAGGCGGCAGGCAAAAGGGACCTGAGGACACTATATCAGATAACCAAGTCTCTATCCGGGAAGAGATCAACACAAGTGAAACCTATAAAAGACAGCCGAGGGAACCCAATTACCAAAGAAGAAAGACAGATTAAACAATGGGCGGACCACTTCAAAGGACTCTTGAATCGACCACCACCTACAACCCGTCCAGTAATACCAACAACAGCACGTACACAACTGCAAGTTGACACCAATCCTACAACAAAAACTGAAGTCATGAATGCAATCAAGCTTCTGAAAGCTGGAAAAGCAGCTGGACCAGATGGAATACCCCCGGAAGCACTGAAAGCGGACCCAGAAACGACAGCAGAAATGCTGACTCCATTATTGCAAAAGATCTGGAAAGAGGGAAGGGGTGTCTACTGACTGGAGGAAAGGTTACCTGGTGAAACTACCAAAGAAGGGCGACCTGGGACTCTGCAAGAACTGGCGAGGAATCATGCTCCTGTCGACGCCAAGTAAAATCCTGAGTCGCATCATCCTGGAGAGAATAAAGGACGCACTGGATACAGAACTCCGACCAGAACAAGCTGGATTCAGGAAAGGCAAACCATGTTCTGACCAAATTGCAACTCTACGCATCATCATCGAACAAAGCATGGAATGGCAATCAAATCTCTACCTCAACTTTATAGACTTTGAGAAGGCCTTCGACAGCGCAGCGTTGACCGCGAAGTAATTTGGAAACTACTCGAGTACTACGGCGTACCCCAAATATTCATCAACCTTATTCAACAGCTGTACGACAACGGCACATGTCAAGTGATCCACAACGGAAAACTCAGCGAAGCGTTTGAAGTAAACACAGGAGTCAGACAAGGGTGCTTATTATCACCAATGATATTCCTAATTGTGTTGGACTGAATTATGCGTCAGACAGTGGGAAACGAGAAGACAGGGATATCCTGGACCGACGTGAACAACCTAGGAGACCTGGATTTCGCAGATGATTTATGTTTGATGTCACACAAAATCGAAGACTTACAAGCGAAAACCGACAAACTGGTCGAAGAAGCAGCCAGAGAAGACAGGACTCCAGGTGAACATAAACAAGACGGAGGTCATGAAAATAACCAACCAACAACAACAACAGCAGCAACATCCAGTGCCAATCACCATCAACGGGAGGGATTTGAAAGAGGTTACTTCATTCACTTATCTAGGGAGCATTGTGTCAACTACAGGAGGAACGGACGAGGATGTCAAATCGAGAATCGGGAAGGCGAGAAACACATTCATCAACCTGAAACCAATCTGGAAATCTTCGTCACTCAACTCACCATCAACAACAAAATGATTCGGATTTTCAATACAAACGACATCAAGTCAGTTCTTCTATACGGATCAGAAACTTGGCCAGTGTGTCACAAAGAATACTTCCAACAGCCTGTTGCAGACCTTTATCAACAGCTGTCTTCGTTCTATACTGAAGATCAGATGGCCGGAAAGAATCACCAACAAGAAACTATGGGAACAAACAAAACAAGAACCAATCGCTCAATAAATATGCAGGAGAAAGTAAAGATGGATCGGACACTCGCTGAGGAGGCCGCTGGGTGATATCGCGTGTCAGGTCATAGCTCGAGTGGAACCTGAAAGAAAAACGGTGAGTGGGACATTAGTGCAAGGGTGACATGGAGGAGATCGTGTGATGAGGAACTGAAACAGAATGGATTAACATGGATGCAAGTGAAAAGTACAGCAGAAGACAGAAGCAAGTGGAGGCGTGCAGTTGAAGCCCTATGTTCCACTAGGAACCCAAGGGAATAATAATAATAATAAATAATGGTGCTACGAAATTCTTATTGCTTGTCAAGTATGACTGAGGGGATTCGCCACTTGACTATGTCATTCAGAAGTAATCATAAACGTCAAACACAAATAAGAATGAGTTTGGAAGTACATAGCTATATTTTCGATATTTTTTCAGTGGAAACTTTCGGAAATTTATTGAACGTTTAAAATAGTTTTTTCTAAGTGAAACTACAAATAATTCTTGTGAGCCGTTCTTGACTCAAATTTCTTTAGTGAGTATTTTCACTGGAATTCAAAAAGTGCGTTTTTTCCTATTCAAGGCATCACAGTTTACTATGACTTGTGTCGGTGTTCCTACTGAAGCTGAAGTCGTAGCAATATCCACTGGACTACTCACTTGTGAAGGATACAACTTGTAAGAATAGGAAATACTTTCAAAGTAGTATGATCCTTACTTAAAACAATAGTAAGAAAAAGCTGCCTACTAACACCAGTGACATTTCTGATTGTGGTGGACTGGATCATGAGGAAGGCCGTGTGTCGGGAGCAAGAAGATGGAATACATTAGGTTAACAAGAGAACTCTACACGATGTGGAGATCGCTAACGATTTATGTTTAATGTCAAACAAACTCAAATATCTAAAGGCATAAACCAAAAGTTGTCAGAAAAGTCAGCAAAGACAGAACTTTAAGTGAAGGTAGAAAAGACAGAGGTAATGAAGATATATAACCTACAGTACCAACAAACACCAATGACCATGAATAGAAGAAGTTTGAAGGAAGTCACCACCTTCACTTATCGCTTCAACTACACCCAACAGCATGGATGTTCATGTAAAAACCAGAATCGGAAAGGTAAAATAGACCTTCATCAGTCTGAAATCAGTTTTCAGGTCTTCTGCACTAAGCATGATGAACAGGATTCAGATTTTCAACAGTAATGTCAAGTCAGTTCTTCTATATAGGTCTGAATCTTAGCGTTTCACGAAAAGCATTTTATAAAAGCTTCAGACCTTCATCAATAGCTGCCCTCTCTGGTTCCATAATGAAAATCAGAGGGCCAGCCAGAAAGGATCGGCAACAGGGAACTCTGACAACGAACCAACGAAGAATCTATAGTCTAACAAATTTGCTGAAGAAAATGGAGATGGGTGGGACACATGCTGAGGAAACCATTGAATGACTTCACGCACCATGTCCTAGTGTGTTGCTCGAATAGGGAATGAATGACAAGTTGGAATTCTGTCGGTAGGTGACAAGGAGGAGATCAAGCGGCCTTGGAGCCCGCCAAAGAAGACTGCGGAGAGCAGAGTGATGTGGGATTGGGCTACTGAAGCCGTATGTTCCACTGGAAATCCAAGGGAATAGTAATAATAGTGCTCTTTAGTTTTGAAGTACTGTTCTACTCAAACTAAACTGCATGTCTTAGTGAGACAGTGAAGAGTTCTAATGAAAGAGTAAATAAAATAACTTCTATATACTTTACACTAGTACTCTACCGTCCATCATTCACGGAGATATAACCAAACTAACTGGATTCTTTTAATATAATTTGCCACAGCCTGACACGGGAATATTGATTTAATTTGCGAACAATCCTCCAAACATGGATGCCTTTCATCTCCTTTGAATTCATTCAAGTAGTAGGGAATATCCACTAGAACTGACAGAATGTTAGGAGATACAATCAAAAACACACTTTATGAAATCTATTCCATCCTCTTGTATGGCACAAAAAGCTTTTATTTAAAAGTTTACGTACACATACCAAATTAATTGAATGAGAATGAAACAGAAAGCAGTGTCAATAAGACTTTTTGAGTATGTTTGTGGCAAAATTGTGTCAAGGTTTCAAGAAACTTTTCACAGATGCAATCTCCTATAATACAACGTATCATCAAATAAGTTGTATAGAACCACAAAAATTAATCCACGTTCTACTTGGAAAGTAATATAAAGATTAGCACATTTATTAGTGATAAATACAAATATTTCTCACTTTCATCAAATTCATTTTTCAAAGCCTTGACGTCATCATTGGAACCACATATTCGGTAGACTCCAACTTCTAATAGACCTCGACGTTCAATCTCTTCGACACAAGCAGTCACTAAACGCGGTATAAATGCCTCAGATTTATGTTTTATGGTATTATTTTGATTATTTCTGTCACTTGAAACTCTGAAAAATAAAAAAAAAAATAGTTGTACAGAGTGTGAATGAATTAGTATGCCTTTGAGAAGAAATTTTGTATATGTGTGTTTACCTCTCTAAAGTTTTATACAGACTACCTAGTCAATTTAATCGATAACAGAAACTAAACTGTAATTCTCAAGACGTGTCACTACAATTTATCCACTTAGGTGGGGGTGGGGACACAGTTCAAAGATAGGCTTTGAAAGAAATATCTTATTCTTCTTTTTTGAAATACTTGAAAAATTGATCTGATGCTCACTAGCAACTGGCCCTATTCAGGCAGTGACCTGGGGTTTTATTGGGAATCCATGACCAGTAGGCTGCAGCAAGTTGAAGATGAGGTAGTAACTCATCGGAGAAGACACTGGGAAGTGATCGCGCTATATCATGAATTGGCAGAAAATAGAATTCATGGGTTAGCTACTGGATGACGTCCCTGTGCCTTAGTTGTCTACGAGCTCACCTTGTAACCAGAAGGTTCTGGGTTCGAGCCCCGGTGGGTGCGTAGTGCTGAAGAGTCCCAAACTATGCGGGAGAAACAGCTGTCTTGTATTTTCAGGTTTCCCAATAGTTCTTTAACTGATGTCAGCTCATGATGAAACCCTCCAACCAAGAAATACAATACACGTTTCAAACAAACTACGACTTCATATTACTTTATAGAAATTCATAAAGGGAAATAATTACTTCAAAAATAAAATGAAATTCAAATGTGTTTATTTTGGAAAAGACCCCGTTTGCTCATAACCTTTGCTTTGCTTGATGATGAAAAGTAGTGGTTTGGTAGAATTTTACTCTGCTACTTGTTGTTATGACACTCAATGATGATGATATTCTTTGATGTTTATTTACTCCTAAAGGAATAATAGGCCTGCTTAAGAGTTGTTCCAATCAATTTAAAAAAGACAGTGTATTCCATTCAGACGGTGAAAAACATCACTGTTGTTTTGTGAAGCTGTCTTTGTTTTTGAGAAAGAAGAGAATGGAAAAGTTTTTGATGAAATGTAACTTGCATACTCTTCTCTGGATTATGGTGGACAATTTAATGATAACCCAGAGTCGACGTTGGACTTCTAAACTTCATTTGTCTTAGAAATTATTTCCCTACAAACTAGTAATTCTTGACAGATTTTTAAGAAATTAAAGATAGAGCGTATTCATCAGGTGGAAGCTTAAAATTTTATTGGGGAGTGTGTTTTAGTCATATTTAATTTATATAGATAAATAATCCTTGATTAGCAACTGACTTCCACTAAATTAGTGAATTGAAGAGCTTGATAAGTTCATTGTATATACATATTAGCTTAACCGTTATTCCTTTGGGTTCCAAGTGGAAAAAAAGCTTCAGCAGAATATTTCCGCTTTGTTCTGTTCTCCGTAGTCCTCTTTAACTGTCCCTACGATTGCCCATGAGCTTTTATCTCTTCTTCAAATAGTTTGCTTCATTTCACCATCGAACACACACCAACCTCACCATTTTCAATTCGGATTTGGCTCGAGGTTCCAGTGGTCTCCTCAACTTGAGTCTCATCCATCACCATTTTCTTTAGAATATTTGTTGGACAACAGAATCTTGGCTGGTCCGTTCACACGGTTTCTTGTCTCTTATTCTTTCGAGTCGACTCTCTGAACTTCAGTATGAAACGAAGAGATCTGTTGATGAATGTCTGAAGCCTGCCTGAGGGTGAGGCGAATCTCCAAACCATATAGAAAAAGTGACTTAACATTAATAGTGAAAGTTAGAATTTTGTTGTTTATGTTGAGTGAAGAAGATTTCCAAATTGATTTCAGGGTAATGGATGTCTTTATTGCCTTTCCGATTTTGGTTTTGACATTCTCATTTGCACCAACTACTTGTAGTTGAAATGACGCTGTCTAGCCAGATAAGTGAAAGAAGTGACCTCCTGAATACTTCTTCAACTGATAGTAGTTGATGGCAATTGTTGTTGACTGGTTGGTTATCTTCACCTCCGTTTGCTGTATATCTACTTGACGTCCTTTATTCACTGCTTCTTTCCTAAACTTGTTGGTTTCCGCCTGTAAATCTTTGAATTTATATGACATAAGACAAATCATCCACGAAATCCTGACCTTCCAGAGTTTTCCTACTGGTCCAATGTAGTCCTGGCTTCTAACTTCCCACGTTCAGTGTGTTACATGATCTAGTCCACCACAGTTGAGGTAATTGTCCATGATAGTATACAGCTTTGTCTAACTCCAGAATTCATTTAAAAGGCTTCACTAGGTATTTCCGTTGTGGATCACTTGACAATCCAGCATTGTTATTGTTCATTTGGAAACTGCTAATTCAGTCAACAGACGAATTCTTGGCTACCTACATCAATGATGAAAACGTAATTCAATAAATTCAATACGAAATCCTGTCTAGTATCATTCGGTCAAGATTATTTCACTCCAGCGAACTGTCTTAGCAACATTCGAAATCAAGTGTTATGCATAGCCTAAATTGTGATATATATTCAAGTGAATAATCCTTGTCGACTGTACCTAAAAAAATTTTTATCTTATCTCCATCATCCTATTCTCCAGGGTAGACTTAATAGTTGAATACGTCATTCAAACGTTTCATCCTTTTTGTTATATTCTATGCCTTTTTCGTAAATTCACTATATTCCTCTAGACATTAAGATGCGTCTTCTCAGTTTATCTGTAGAATTGCGCACATCTTTTAATTTGATAAAATGTTGACCAAATTTAATCAGTGAAATATTTAGATTCTCATGGTTTTGTTCTTCATTCTTATCAAACACACACACACATACACACAATGTGCTTCAGTTATGTTTACTCTCATTACCACCATGATCGCCAATGTTTGTGATATATTTGTAACATTATCGATGATTCATCTACCACCACAATGACTGGCTAGACTAAAGCATGGGAAACGTCTAACTGAAAAAAGCACAGGCTTTTGGTTTTAACAATTACAGTTTCTCACAATCTAAGTGAATCACAGAGAGTAGGTAATCAAAATTTACTCAATCTAAACAAAGGAAGTTATATATTAAAATAAATATCTAAAATGTAATTGACTTACTTTATAAGCTCAGTAAGATGACGGCCGAATAGATTCCCTGGAATTTCAGATCTCCGATTTTTATTCAGATTTATTTTATCAATGTATTTCAAGGATATTGTAAAAACTAGCTGTTTAGGGAAAAGAAAGCATGTAATAGTACAAATTAAAGAGATGTAATCACCTGTAGAACGAAAATTTTAAATAAAGTAAAACAAACTATTTGTTTATAATTCAATTTTGATACTCTCATTCTATGATTGGGCTTAGATGTTCGGCCTCAGTTGACATGTCTACTCCTGGTGAGGAAGCTTGGGCGAAGTCTGATGATTAACTTGGTATCCATGAAGCGCACTTCGTTCTATTCAGGACTTGTCAGTCACCATTCTCCAAGTTTTCTTTTTGTTCCTTTTTGTTCCCAGTGGAACAGTGGTCTTCAGGCTAGAGCTTCGAAGTTTCAGTAGAATTGTGTTGTCTTTCTTTTACGGTGTGGGGTCGCTAGCCTCACGCCCAACCTCTTCTCTTTGTAGGGATCATAGCCGATTATGGGAAGTAAGGTGTGCGCCGGCTGGGATTCGATTCCCGGACCACATGCATGGTCGACTAGCACTCTACCGCTGAACCACTGATGCGCTGTCCACCAGGTTACTTCAAGTAAACCATCAGGCATCGTTGAGGCGTCCGTATTAGGAACCGACATGTCAAGAGAGGCCAAACAATTCAGTCAAATCAATCAGGGGGGGGAAGAAATCAAAACTGGATCAAAAACAAATAATAATTGATTCCCCCTCGAACAAGAGGTGTCTCTCGTGGTATAAGTGGTTTAGCAGATGATGCTTCGGTGTTTGTATCTATGGTTAATGGTTTGAGTCGCAGTCGGGAATGCAGGCACATTTAGCCAATTGGTTCCAAATAGGAATAAATGAGCATCCTGGATTCCTATCCTAGTTATCATTCATCACATTACTTCGAAGTAACACAAACGATTTGCTTTTCACAAATTAATGATGTCGTTATTAGAAAATAACGAGAAATAAATTTGGACTGCATTGGTATTTCATGTTATGATTACTTTCAGGTCTTAGTCTGTAGGGATTTAATTGATTTTAAGTTTGGTTATGGATCAACATCAGTCAGAGAACCGCTGAAAGCATTAAACAGCTGTTTCACCCTTTTCTGGGACTGTTCAGGTGTACGTAACCGTACTGGGGATCAAACACAAGGCCTCCAGGTCATGAGGCGACCTTATTGACCATTCAACTACTGATACCTAATTGAATGTGCAATTTCAGTTTAACAATGAAGTGTATCATCAGTTAGAGGGCAGGGAAATGGGCTTTTCTTCAAATCTTTTTTTAGCCCATATCTTTATGATATAATTAGGAAATGGTTTATTTGAAAGTGTAATCGACAAACTTTTGTTCTTCTATAGATGCATGCATGATACCTTTATCCTACATAAGAAATCATAAATACCACTCTGAGAAAGTTTAATCAAATTTATCCTTTCTTGACGTTCTGTTGACTAGGAGGCTTTATGTTAGTTCTGTGGGTATATTTTTCGAATAAAGCCAAGCGCTGATCAATACATACACTTCATTTATCATTTTTCCATCTTGGATACAAACGAAATCTCATCAATATTTCGTACACCCGATACACTGAATGAAATATAGAAGCATAAGGACTAGTGATGGCTATTTCACCTCTCTTCCATTACATAAATACACAATCGACGTACACGACCACAATGACTGAATTAATGGATTATTTAACTACTTGCATGAATTTATTGAGATTATTATTATTACTTTGACTACTATTCGCTAACTCACATTCTTGATCCTTAATTGTATTAACCGAACAGGTATCACGATGAACTGAATTATGCAGAAGATTGTGCATAGGGAGCGAGAAGACAGAAGTACGTTGGACCAATAAGAGGACTCTAGAAAATCTGGATTTCGTGGATGATTTGTCAAATGTCACATAAACTCGAAGGTTTACAGGTGAAGCAACTAAAACAGGACTTCAAGTGAACACAGAGAAAACGGAGGTTGTGAAGACAACTTGCCGAGAACAATGAAAACTACCAATCATTATCAATGGAAGAAACTTGAAAGAAGTTTCAACTAGAGGCCATAGCACTTATGAGGATGTCAAAACCAGTCAAGATCGGAGAGGCAAAGCAGACGTTCATCATTCTGAAATCAGTGGGGAAAGCTTCCACGCTCAGCATAAGGAACAAAATTAGTATTTTCAACACCAATGTTAAGTCAGTCAATTCTTCTATACGGATCAGGTGCTCGAATAGCGCGTCACTAAAAGCATTTCTAACAGGATACTGTAAGCCTTTATCAACAACTGTCTTCTCTGGCTCCGTTTTGAAGGTCAGATGGCCTGATGGCCAGAAAGAATTAGAAATAAGGGATTGTAGGAACCAACCGTTCAAGAACCTGCTGCTCAACGGATATTCTAAAGAAAACGGAGATGGATCGCATACACACTGAGGAGATCGCCGAATGAAATCGCCCACTAGGCCATGGCTCGAGTAGAGCCCGAATGGGAGATGACGAGTTGGATGTGTATCCGAGGGTCATGGAGGAGATTGTTTAAGGAGCAGACGAGTGACTATGGGAGGACTGCAGAGAAAGGAACTAAGTGTAGATGTGCTGCTGAAGCCTTACGTTCCATCTGGAACCCAATGGGAACAATAACAAATAACAATAATGACATTGGTATCAGATTTCTATGCTGAGTAATTTTACTGCGTAATTGTAAAGTTACTGATCAGATATCAACAAAAATATGCAGCATGGATAATATGTGTCCCTCCTACCATAATTCCAACGAAGTCTTATCTGTTATAAATAATGATAAAAGAGTCATTTAAGTAACACAGGTAACAGATTTTAATCACACTATGAAACCATTATTACGAAACTGAAGGTAGTTGGAAAAAAGACAGTAAATGTCCGACAAAAACCAGACTGACGAGTGAAAACACGTGAGGATTATGAAGTATTGAGTTATATGACAGAAAATGCAACAAACAAAATGCGAGTTTCCTTTACGAATTGATGTCACTAATTCTATCAACCACATGAAGTTGAAACTTGGCAGGAAGCAAACTAAAAACGGTGCATTTTTTGTATTTACCTAAAACTACTTCTGCTAATAGATGTTTCAACATTTCTCATAAGGGAAACCAGGAATTTTAGAATTTTACTGTTTACTTTCTTATAGAAAAATCAGACGCTAAGAGAAAATTATTGAAGCAAAACAAAATAATAACTGATGCGTAAACGTCTGTCATGGACCATATCATATACATGTACCAGAAGTTCGCTGACATCTCTTTAGAACTGTATTCCCCTCTAAGAAAGAGATATTCGCTCATTAAAAATAAGTTTATATGCGTAAATTGACTTTGATACTGGAATTCCACACATATATATCCTATGAATTAATCATTATTAAGAAGATTATGCAGTATTGATTGGTGACAGGTTTTATCACGAATCGATATCAGTTACAGAACCATTGGAAAACCAACAGGAAGTAATGGACAGTGGTTTTGATGATATTGGATGGTTGGAGGCAATCGGCAGCAAGGCATATCCACTACCTTGAAGGAACTCATGTCTCTTCTGAGATTCGAATCCATGTCACCCAGTGCTACAGTCACAGATGTTATCAGTGAGCTATTTGAGCTCGTGACTGACCTCATGTAGGACTGTAGGTCTCTGGCTGATGCACTGAGTGACACGGGTTCGAATCTCAAAAGGTACATAAGTTCCTTCAAGGTTGCGGATACGCATTGCTGACGAGTGACAACTAGCACTAAATATAGGTCGAAGGCTTCCTGCCGATTGCCTCCAACCATCTAATATCATCACATTAATGTGCACTATGATGGCGAGCTAACTAGAATGGTGGCCACATTGCAAATCTGACTGATAGAATTCAGTCTGCACCAAACAAAGGACTAGACACATCACACTAGTTACTAGTGTCCAATCAAACAAAGGACAGTGGTTTCGTCCTTGTCTGGGACTCTTCGCAGTACGCACCCACCGGAGTTCGAGCTTGGGGCTTTCCGGTTATAAGACGAGCTTGTAGACCATTGGGAAACTGGGATCCAATCAAGTGGTCCACCAATTTGTTATCAGACCTGCAAACAATCAAATCCCTGTGGACAAATACTTGGTAATTAATCTGATCGTCTCTAGCAACATACAGGAAGTTACCTGGGGTTCTAGTGAAAAGTCGTAACCATTGGGCCAGACCAAGTCAGGTAAGAGGATAGTTACTCGCCTATGACATTGGTTGGTAGCTGCGCTATACACATCGTGGACTGGAAAAAGTTGGAATCGATGGACCGTTAGGTAGGTTCCTAGGGGCTGATAGGTCTATGAGCTTGTTTTGTAATCGAAGGTCCTGTGTTCAAACCCCGGTGGACACGTACAGCTGAAGTGTCCCAAACAGAAAAGGAATAGCTTCCAAGTACTCCATGTTGATTTTCCAGTGATTCCATAATTATGTCAATTCATGATCAAACCAGTAAAAAATGGTAATGCCTTCCGGGGTTTTTGAAACAGGAACCGTCGGGAATTAGTCAGACTTCATTTAGTGACATATATGGCCAAATGAAAATGTATAGTTTAGGCAGACTAAGTTTGGAATCAATAAAATTGGTTGAGTCTTCTGAAAAAGTGCTAGTACACCACCACTACGCATCCAACTGCAATCCATCATTGGTACACATAGTATAACACAGAACATACACAAAGATTCCATCAGAAGACAAGAGTTCTGACAAAATGATATGATTACTTTATGTCGAATGACATAGACTAACAGAAAATCTAATTTCGGAAATCATTCAATTTCGTTATCATAAGGAGGCATATTACGTCAAATGATGACAAAAAAATGGGGCGGGGGTGGGGGTGAACTCACATCTCTTGGAGGGTTTTCATTTGTCAGTATCTTCATGGCAGTCATTGAATTTTGTTTTAGTGTTTCCAAATCCAACTAAATTGTTTAAGTGAAGAAATAATAAACGCAAAGTTGATAGTTGAAAATTTCCCAAAACAGTGGAAAACACGAAAAGTATTTATTGGACTCTGAAAAATGCTTACATACATTTAAATTTACAGGAAATAAAGAACTCAAATCATGTCATATCAGAGAAATTATAACTGATAAGAAATACGTACTGTAAAATGTTTTTTGGTAAACATAAAGAATGGCGACCACAAGTGAACTTCAGACGACCAATGAGTTAAAGCCAATTATTTAAGAGAAAAATGTATATAATAATAATCAGACGCAATAAAGACGGTGCTTTACCCTGGCGTAACTCAAAAATACTTTTCTAATTACGATGAGGGGGATCAATTTTTAATTTTCATATGTATCAAAACGGTTCCCTTTAAATGAACAGCGACAGCCCTCTTCCTCTCATTCATTTATATACAAGACCAAGTTAAACTTTAAGCATCACTAACTACCAATGGCGTACGTTCGCGCCATTGACCTTTAGTGGTCCAATGAGATTTATTTACGTGAGTTAAAGCTTCTGTTCTACTTGATTCGAGTCAAATGACTGCTCTAACGCAGTTGCGCTTGCAGTTTGGTGAGGATCAAGTCTTCCAATATTGCTTAGATGTGGGGTTGATCAGGAAACAGAGGACTTGTTCGTGTGGAGGTACGATAACCATAAAAACTTCAGAAGGACTACTGATGGATATGTGCATCGTTGTGCAATTTGTTTGAGACGAGTTACTGTCAGGGAAGGCAAGCTGAAGATTCTAAGATTTTGTGGAAACAAATTTTGCCAGGTCCCATTTGTCCTTAACCGAGATTTTGTATATTTGCAATTACCAGGTTTTAAAGCAGACTGTAGGAGGTGCAGCTGCTGAAGCTGAAAATAGTCTCGTACTAAAAGTCCAGTAGTACTACCAGCACTGCGGGGATATCTCATCCTGGAAAATGGTGAGGCTTACTTCCTTATTGGAAGGAGGAGGTGTCATCGTACATGTGGGTGAAACTGTCTTATTAAAGAACACATACAACCGTGGTCGAAAAAGATCGAATAATTTGAAGTCAAGTACTTTAAACCTATTATTACTCGACTGATGAAACAAGGATCTATAACACAGATATGAGTGGAAAGGTTATAATTCCTTATCATCCCCTGGACATATTCACTATAGAGTCAACCATTCTAATGATTTTTCGGATTCCATTACAACGACCCACACCAATTCTATTGAAGGCTTTCGTGGAAGGTTAAAAAACAGGGTTAGAGGCAATAATGGATCTCAAGAGGATGTCACTTGGATGAATATATTTATAGTATGTGGTGTAGCTTTTCCATTGATACTCCTATGCTAAATTGGGAGATGTTTTTATCGTATGTGAGAGAAAGGTATCCTTTGTAACACTTTTATACAGGTTTTAATCATTTCTTTTACATGAATGTATGTACGCACCCACTGGGGTCCAAACCCAGGACCTTCTGGTTGCAAGGCGAGGTCGTAGACCATTAGGCCAGTGAGACCCGATTCAATGGCCTATGAATTCTAACTTCTGCCATTTCACGACATAGGGTGATCACTTTGCAATGTGTTCGATAAGCAACTAACCTCACCTTCAACCTGAGGAGTCCCAAACTACGACGAAGCAGCTGTCCACTACTCCTAGGTTTTCCAATGGTTATCTAACTGGTGTTAGCTCATGATGAAATCCTCCAACCAGTCAAACAAAATCCCTACAAAACCAACACTTTAAAATAAATATATGTATTCTATACGGAAAAATGACTCCTTCATGTGATTGGTGCGTTCAAACTTATCTGCTGATTGGTTGTTAGTGTTGCTTAAAGTTTAACTTTGTTGTTTAAAGCAAAAATACAGATAACGGTAATAATAGAGCACCCTAATCATAATCTTAACCCTAAGCCCAATCTTAATCACAGCCCTAACCCTAAAGTAGCAACAATCCATTGTCCAAGCAGTACTTAAAAAGGAAGTCAAGATAAAATTCGAACCTCAGTTCATGCACAGCGTTCATACTAGCTCTGTAGTTGCGACAAGTTCTGAAATCCAATGAGCGCTAGGCGTTCAAGGTCATTAGTGCGTTCGCACTCCATAGTTGCTATCCATCCATTTTATGGCTGGACTTATCCGGCATGTTGGTTGAAATTCCGCTCGGCAAATTTGTTTTGTCAATAGTTTTTAATAAAATTTTGTTGTATGTTTTCTGGATTGATAGGAATTCTCAATTCCTGGCTAGTTATGTTGGTGTCTGCGTCATTTAATCTGACTGCGACACACTTAGCATATTGGTTGTAATGATTAGTGTTTCATGCTGAATGCGTCAAAACATCTCTACAATGAAGAAGATGGGGTAGTTGGTGGGTAATGTCATCTACACAAATAGTTTATTTCTTGTAGAAGCTGCAGCTTTCGACATAGTGTCATTCAATGAAGAATACGTCAAAATGTGGCTATTTTCGTGTGAAGAACAGTACTATTTTACAAAAGAATGCTATCAGTACATGGGAATCACCTATAAATGCCAACAGAACATAAAACCAATGTGTAAACGAACGGCTGTGGAACTGCAATCCAACATAACCCACTAACATGGACGAAAATGACCTTTGAGCGTCTCACTCCATCAATGACCTTGAGCATGCGGGATAATTTCAGCCCATTTTATTATATACGACTCCATGTTTAATCAGATAAGTTTCGTATTCTAAATTTCAAAATGCAGTTTAGTGAACAAAGAATATTCTTTTCGAGAACTTTTTCATCATTTTCTACAGTTTGTTATGCATACATAATTTTTTAACAGCCAAGGATTACTGTCAGCCACTTCAATTTTTCTTCAAAAAAAGATGTTATAGTAAAATTCAGGAAAGTAATACCATAATTTTTAAATCTCCAAACAAAATAAAGTCAAAAGATTCTAAAAATATAACAAATCTGATTCGTTCTTTAAAATACTAAATGATTTATGATGTATTTATGGCTTAAGATAAAATAATTCAATGAAGGTCATTTGAGAAACATCAGTATTATGAGTCATTATTCTCAGCAAGTGTATATAATCGTACCTAAGTACAATTAGTGTTCACATCTAATGGCAAAAATATGCCTCAACGTAGTTTGCAACATTATATATATTTTTGATCATGAGAAGTACAAGCAAATAAAAACTATGTAAGAGATATGCTTAAATACTATTTAACCGTGCTAACGAACAAATGTAACAAAGTAATTATAATATCAGATCAATAAATTTAAATTAAAGAATCAGAATGGCTGAGTATTTGCAGTATCCAAGTCAACGGTTTAAACAAAAACAGATTGAAAATCAAAAGACAGAAAGAACAACTTATTACTATTAATTGACACCCAGGAGCTAGTTTGTGGTGAAGTTAATTTAACTGAATGGCTATGCATCCAGATGACGAATCTAGAATGGAACGAGAATTATTTGGGATTCCATTGTTAGCCCTCACATTTCTACATCAAAGGCATCATCAAACCGTCCGTATTGGAGGCTGAGAACCAGGGAGTACTGGATATCTGTTTCTCCCTTGCATTTAACTCTTCAGGATTATGCACCCACTAAGGTTAAAACCCAGGACCTTCCAGTTACAGGACAAGTTCACTGACCACTCGGCTAATGGAACCCTATCCAATGGCCCATGAATTTCAAATTCTGCTAATTCATGGTATATAGCGAAACCACCGGATGATGTCATCACTGAGTAACTGTTCTTCCACGCCATATTTCGCGAATTATCAGAAGTTGGAATTCAAGGACCATTGGGTCGGGTTCCATTGGCTGAATGTCCACTGAGCTCACCTCGTAACCAGAAGGTCCTGAGTCTGAACCCCAATGGCTGCGTGTTGATGAAGAGTTCCGGACAAGGACGAATGAACTGCTCAGAAATCGCTGGTTCTCCAAGGGTTTCTAACTGATGTCAGTTCATGATCAAACCTTTTTAACGGCTGGGATTTTAGAAAGAAAACTAAGTAGGGTATTTTCGGCTTCCCGATATATGATATTTGAGAAGTCTGAGTAACGCAAAATAACCATTATCCTATTTCTATCAAAATATTTAGTTGAATACTCTAATGAACAAGCTATCTTCAATTATTTATACATTACTGGTAGAAGCAGGTTAAAACCAGCGGAAACTTCAGTCCTAAAATTTGTTCATGCTGGATATACAGTTGTGTGAGTGAGATTAATAGGCTCCGACACATACTGCTCATAAGTACTGAAAACTAGCTTTCATATTATAGTACAGTAAGATGCTGCTTTTATTAAAAAGACTCGTGAAATGGCAATTCTGAAAATTCTTTTGTTTGAATCAGCTGTTACAGCATGTAATACAGTCTAGAGTTCCGAAATCTAAAAAGGAGCAGAATGACGCTGTATGAAGTCAGTAGTTAACAAAATTATGTTGTACTGGAAAAGGTGATTACAATAAATTAGACCATATTCATAGGACAAATGTTCAATTTGCAATTTCCACAGTTTGTGGGGGAGGGGTTGGTGAAACTTTGGTGCAGTTTCCTTAAGAAATCAAATTTGTTCAGATCACAATATGCAGTCTGCTTGGTACCATGGATGGTAATCAAGAAAGTAAGTATAAATACGTAAAACCAAAAACTGGTGGTCAACTGAGATGAGTAGTTTTATACCACTTACATCAGCCGGTAGTGTTTGCTATCTAAATTGAACTGATGGTCGGTTTGTTCGTTTTGGGCCGACATCAGTAGCTGTGTGCCCGGTATGACTCAGCTTTAAATTAATTATTAGCATATAGGTTTACTCATTTAAGCTGCCTTTTTTATTACCATTTACGGTACCGAAGCTGAGCATTTATTATGGTCTGAATAATTTTGTTGTGCAGAGGGAACCATGGTGATATTTAACCTCCAAAAACTGTGTAAATTGCAAGTTCAGAACTTGATTTAAAGTGTTGCCATTCCCTTCAAGAAGCTAGTCAGAAATTGCGTGGTTTGAAATGATTCGCCTCTCTCAGCCTGGTCAAACCGAATATAACGCTGTTGAGCTTGACCCCAAACGAGCGAATACACCGTCTGGTGCTAAGACCATTTCGATCTGGCTAGCAAGCATTACTGGTTGATGAGAGCAGTATAAAATTGCTCTCCTCAGCTAATCAGTAGTATATAGTCTTACGCATTTCCTTATGAAGTTAATAAAGAATGGTATAATAAGAATATTTACCTTGATTACCGTTGTCTTACTATTTTGTGGACAAACTTAAGCATAGTAAAATGTTATCTGTTTCTGAATAAAATGTTCCACTTAGTTAAATTGAACGAGGCAGTTGTCCACTAAAATAGACATCTACTTTATAACAAAGTAAAGCATTTTCAAGGTGGATGAACGTTTGTGTGGGATGCTCTCTGGGCTGAGAAGCTGTTGAGCTGTGCTGGTTAGTAATGACTACAGCTACCGAGTCCCAGATGATACTGTATGAGGGATAAATAATTGCCTATTTCGCATTTCACAGCATAACAATCTATATTGGACTGATGAATCGAAAAGTCGCTGACTTTGAGACTCACGAGGCACAGGATCGAATTCTAAAGTCAATATGACCTTCTTCGAGAATTACAATCCCAATTACAAACTGAAAAAAATGAAGCATGAAACCGAAGTCTAGAATTTATTGCGGATGAATATTCTCTAATATCACCATCTATTTCGATTACGATCAGTTAGATAATCAGGCTTTAAACGACAATCACAGTTTCGATCTAATTTTAGTGTTTTTCCGGAAGTAGTTGGAGCAGTAATTACTTTCTTCAGCTTGTATCCTGAACAAGTAATTATAAATGCACAATTTAGATTCATTATGAAAAGACATAACCGAAAAGTAAATAAAACGAATTAGAAATTTCTGTGAACTAGAGTATCTGAAACACAGATGAGCTGATACAAGAACCACGTAATATAAGTAAACAGTTTTGTCCTTATTTAAGACAACAGATAATGTTGTTTTGCCTACATTTATAAAAGTTAAGCTGCCTGAGTTTTATACTAATCACAGTTAAAAGCTTACAAAACAATTAGTAGGTTTATGCAAAAGTTCACTGGGATTAGTTTTAAGAATTTAGGCGAAGAGAAAGAGTATATGTCCAAATCAAGTTCGCAGTTAATAGTTTGGAAACATTTGGCCAATGGGTGTATAATATTCATTATTGTAGCGACTAAAACCGACTCGTTGTGGTCTAAACACAAAGAACCGATCCTTACGTCCTACTGTATAGATATCCGAAGCTTCTTTGAGAAACATGTCGTCACGAAATGTTCAAAAGCTTGGAAAAGGATGATCGTTCTGGAAAAATTCTGAGGTTCTGTTGAACAATAATAACATCAAAAACTGAAAATTACTTCAAAAGTGAAGTAAGACGGCTATACAGTCGAGTATGAATACAAGACGAGCACTCAGAAGCAAGTAGAGTGGTCCTGACAAGGTGGGGTCAAAACTCTGTCCACAATAATCAGGCACCAACGCTTCCTGCAGAGACTCCAAGGTCAGAAATGACATTCATTCACTCAAACAAAATCACATCGCAAGACAACACATTATCAATATGCTCACAACCACAAAGAGAAGCATTACAATTAGAGATTAAACAGGGAAAGAGACAAATATTAAGGATCAAGTTAACATATGATATGCAAATGTCACAACAATGATATACAGTATGTGGGAAAAGGGGATACCAACTACAGAATTGTTTGAAACACCCAAATAAGTATAAATCTTGTGATTAGGTCATTTAGGAGGGATTTCGCAAATAATTTTTCTATCATAATTATTTTAAAAGCTTTTATCGTTCTCAATGCATGGAAAAACTAAGTGACGTTGTTTTTATAGAGATTTGACTATATAATGATGTTGACCATATCAAAGTAATATTAGGCCAGAATTTACGAAATCCCAACTTATATACTGTAACCCCTTAATCATTGTTCTTTAGCATTAGGCCTTCTTACACGTTATCAGTTCGACGAAATGGTTAGGTTAACAAACCATGTGTAAACTGTTGGATTGGAATAGTGTAAGAAATTATAAAGACATAATATGTTTACATGATGGCAATGTTTATCCTATTTCTGTTTATTTTTTCAATTCACGGGGCAGTTGGGGTCAGAATCAGGTCACGTTCTGTCCTAATTCTTTATTGCTATTCACACATTTTAGATTTCCTGATATGAAATGCTCTTTGTGAGTTTGGAAATTTCTGTGAGTAACTTCAGTATCATCAAAGTCAGTTTTGTTGCCTGATTCTATCGTGTGTAGACCAATAGTTGAGGATTTGTCGAGATTTTCTCAGTGGTCGAATGCAGGCTTTGCAGTGTTAATTTCTTCTGATTTGAACTTATAATAAAGAATATGCACAAGCCTCTAAAGAAATAAATAACCATCGCAGAACCTTAGATTTTGCCAGGGGATAGTTAAAATCTAATATGGTAATACATTTTTAAATTGGGCTCACTTTATTTATTTATCAATAAATATTATTGGACAATTTCAATGTAGTTTTCTTAACACCGGAGAAGGCTGATTCTTGAACGTCTGGCATAAATGTCATAGGTGACTATGGATTATGAATTCCATTCTGATAACTATTGGATGAAACTAGCTACTGTATAAAACGGGTAAAGTTAAACTTTAAGCACCACTAACTACCAATCAGCGAATGACCTCGAACTCACCAATCACGTGAAGGAGGCATTTTTGTGTATGGAATACATGTATTTATGAAATAATGCATAAAAACTGTAGAAAAGTGTTACAGAGGATACGTTGCTAGCACATGTGATAAAAATAGACCTCAGTTTTAGGATGGAGTATCAACAGAGTATAATTCCATCGTGAGTAAAATTTATTTTTATAAAGTCTCATTATGTAATACAGTAATATTTCCTGAGCAATACATTGTGATCGAAACGTCATCAGTAAATATGACTGTATAACACTGTGAGACTTTACCAAAATAAATGTTACGCACAATAGAATCATACTCTACCAAAGTGCACAAGTTCTTTTCTTATATCAACAGAGTAATTTAACCGCATTCTATGCATGTAATTATTTAGGTCTTCTAAACCTAACAAAAACCCTAATGTTTCCTGAACCTAACCCTAACTTGAAAATATCCCTAGACTAACTCTAATCTAACTCGAAACAACGCTAATGTCACCTTTATTAGGTTAACCGAACCCTAACTTGTCCATAGCTTAAACCGGAACTTAATCATTCCAAACCTAAGCTGAAGCTTCTCAAATATCCCATTTAATAAGCTAACAGTTCGATGAGGATGTTTAAGTGATGATGACAACGTTATTTGCCAGGTATCACTGACTTGCTTAATGAGCGATTCAAGGTCGTTGGTGCGGTCGCACTCCATTGGTGCTTAAAGTTTAACTTGGACAAAAAACCATTAAAGTTTATACCACCTTTTTAACTCGTTCGAAAGACAGTATGATCTACAGTTATTAGGAAGAATCCTTAACAAACACAACTTGAGCATTCTGAAGTACTAATAGTTCTTTAAAAGAATGTCAGTTGTTGAGATCAACGCACCACAAAAATATTGGTTTTCAGTGGTTTTGTTACAAAGTGAAGTAAGTTAGATTAAACAAATACTTACAGGAACTTCTAACTCTGCTAAAATCTCCTGATGAATATACAAAGTGAAACATATTGTCCATGCTCCATCGACTTCTAAATCAAATGACTGAAATTAATAAAATAAATAAGATTAGAAACTAAGGATAAGAATGTTGGTTGTGTATGTGTGTGTGGTTCTTTGAGCAACGTTTATTGCATTAAGTATGAAGCATGACAGCGTATGGATTCCAGATGGATTATGCTTTAACAGTATTGCTATTTCCATATTATATAAATGATTCTAAATTGTATTGTATTCCTGCCGATCGCCTCCAACTACCTAGTATTGTAATATATTTTGCATAATGATCACCTAAAGATGTATCATAATATATTATTATTATTGTTCCCTTGGGTTCCTAGTGGAACATAGGGCTTCAACTGCACACCTCCACTTGCTTCTGTCTTCTGCTGTACTTTTCACCTGCGTCCATGTTAATCCACACTGTTTCAATTCCTCTTCACATGATCTCCTCCATGTCACCCTTGGACGTCCCACTCGCCGCTTCCCCTTCGGGTTCCACTCCAGCTATGGCCTGACGCGCGATGTCACCCAGCGGCCTCCTCAATGAGTTTCCAATCCATCTCCACTTCCTCCTGCATATTTGTTGAGCGATTGGTTCTTGTTTTGTTTGTTCGCATAGTTTCTTATTGGTGATTCTTTCCGGCCATCTAATCTTCAGTATAGAGCGAAGACAGTTGTTGTATCATGGTAGTGAACTAAAAAATCAATAATTCGAGTCGACTAGCTGTTTAAATCATTGGGCTACCAACGTTCCCATTCATCATAGTGCCTAAACTTCTCTTCATTTGTTATTATTTTATGCTATTATACCATCTGATCACTACATTTATAAACAGCTTTCAACAAAATTCTGTACAGTTCTTGGAGGAGATGAAAGAATTAGATCCGTCTTCATATGGAACAACACGATTTACTGAAGATTATTATTTTATTTGTAGATCCTGTATGAAGAGGAGATATTTTGGAACTAAATATGCTGAGAATTTGAGCACTGTATGTTAACAAATTATCTGAAACAAATGATTATTATTATATCTATTAATTTACTGTCATGTGGACAAGAGTACTTTCAGGATAAAAATAGGATTGTGGATTCTGATCATACTTTTGTATATCCTTATACAAAGTTTATTCATATACTTTGAAAATTTAGTTGAATGGTGATGTATGCAAATAGCATAGTAGATTGAGCTGTATATCATACTGATATGTTAAGCAATGTACAAAATTCGGTTGAACTGAATAGTAAGGTAATCCATAACTTGACTATAGTTTAAACCATAATTCTTTCCCGTAAGCATATTATGTCTATAGTTGTGTTTTTATCCAATGAAAATCTGACGTTTTATGTAAATATGTTTTCGTTTTAGTAAATCACAAACTGTGTAAGCGTATCTTAGTGCACAGGACAATATGATGTATACTCTTTATTTTGCCATACAACAGGATTTGAGGCTTCCAGCAAGTAATACTTCGTTTGGCATCTTTTCTTAATAAAAAGTAAGAGTAACGGTACTAACGAACATGGCTTTCATCAAAACTATAATTCAAGAGAGACTAATTCGGGACTTTTACGCGCCAAAAAGGCAGGATTTTTTATTATTACTCGCTTGAGTTCCGAGTAGAATAAAGGGCTTCAATAACACATCTCCACTTTGTTCTATTTTCTGATGTCCTTTTCAACTGGGTCCAACACTGACCATAATGTCTAATCTCCTCCTCGCACGATCTCCTCCATGTCACCCTCACACCTACGACCCACTCGTCGCTGCTTCCCGTTGGGATTACACGCGAGTAATGGCCTGCGTTGTGCGCGGTGTCATTCAATGGCCTCCCCAGTGTATGCGCGATCCATCTCCATTTTCTTTTACATATTTGTTGATCGATTGACTCTTGATTGGTTTCTTGTTACTAATTCTTTCTGTCCATCAGGCCATCCGATCTTCACTATGGAGCGAAGGCAGTTATTAATAAAAGCCTGATGGAAATGCTTTCCGTGAGGGGCTAATCGAGTTTCTGACCAATATAGAAGAAATGACTCACTTAAGATTGGTGTTGAAAATATCTTCTTTTTCCTTCACGTTCCCCAGTGGAACATAGGGCTTCAAGCTTGTGGCTTGAAGTTTCTGTAGCAGTGTTTATTTTGCAGGATGAGGTTGCTAGCCTCATGCCCAACCTTTACTCTTCACCAGCATTATTTCTGGTTTAGCGAGGTAAAGGAGTGCGTCGGCCGGGGATCGAACCCAGGACCATATGCATGATTGGCAAGCGTCCTAACCGCTATGCCACCGACGCACACGTTGAAAATATTTATGCTGACTGAGTGCAGAAGATTTCTAAACTGGCATATCTTGCCTTTCCAACTCTGGCTGGCTGGCTTTGACATCTTCATCCGTTCTGTTGCCTGTGGTTAAACGATGCTTCCTAGATAAGTGAAGGAGGTAACCTCTGTTAAATCTCTCCCGTTGTTGGCGGTGGCGGTGGCGGTTGATATTCCTCGTCAACTCCGTCTTCTCTATGTTTACCTGAAGTCTCGTCTTGTCTGCCTGCGTCTTCAGCCAGTTTTTTGTTTTCGCTTGAAAGTCTTCGAGTTTGTGCGAAATTAAATATTAATCATCCATGCGTGAAATCCAGATCTCCTAGACTCTTCCTATAGGTCCAACGTATTCCTGTCTTCTTGCTACAGTCTGATGCATGATCTAGTCGATCACAATTAGGCCAGAGAAAATTAGCAATCATTAACTCTGGCAGGTACTGAATCTATCAGGAACTTATTGGTAAACAAACATGTCAAAGAAAGTGGAGAGACCGTTGAGTGGCACTGCGAACAATGCAGGCTGTCTAGTGTTATTTGAATGAAAAACGACGAGTTGGGTGTTCGTGTCCGAGACTGACATGGAGGAGATCGTGTGAGGAGGAGATGACAGATTATGGACAGTAATGGAGCCAGGTAAAGAGGACTGCAGAAACAGGACAAAATGGAGACGTGCTGGTGAAGCCCCATGTTCCACTCGGGACCAATAGGAATATTAATAATAATGATAATAATTATGTGTGTGATGGTTTAATAGATATGATGCGGATTTTTTGATTGTCTGTCAGTGTTTATAATAACAGGCAGATAAAACTTGAAATTTCTTTTTCGAAACATGAAGTTTATCAGGCTGTTTTCAGTTTCGTTTCATGTGAGTGTAGGTTACCGGTTTCACCCTGCTATATGTGTTAAAAAACTCACTAAAAAACAAGAAGATTAAAAATATGAAAAGCACTACTCCACTATGTTGGTGCAGTATTATTCTATAGTGAATTTGTCTGCCCATATCAGATAAATTTTCGGTATTGGTTTGTAGGGATTTGATTAATTGGTTACAGGATTTCATCATGAGCTGACATTGGTTAGAGAACCATCGAAAAACCCCTGTTACTGGACAACTGTTTCATCCTTGTTTGAGGGTCTTCATCGGTACGCACCTACCAGAGTTCGAACCCAGGGCCTTGTGGTTACAAGGCGAGCTCGTAGACCTGGGTTCGAACCCCGGTGGGTATGCACTGATCAAGAGCCTCAAACTCAAATGAAACAGCTTTCCAGTACTCTCAGGTTTTCCAATTGTTCTCTAACAAATGTCAGCTCATGATGAAATCCCGTAACCAGATAGACATCTGCTTGACTGTATTTTTATATCAAGATATTGTGTGAGTGAGAATTAATCAAAACAAAATACAATCTTACAGTAGAAGTATCGCACAGTGTACAGTTAAGATTGTGCACTTCAAATATATATCAAGGTAATAATTTATAACTTTTAGATGTTCATGTCAAGGTAGTTAGAAAAGCATAATGAGTATTATAATGTACAAACCTATAAAAAGAATCGATAGTACCTGTTCCCATTGGGGATTAGCTTGTTGTAAGACTTTTGTTCGAGCCACTTCTTCACATTGTCCATAAGAGTCGACTTCAATGCAAACATGGTAGCCTAAAATTTAAATTAATCAATTTTGAAGTTTTGTGAACTGATAAAACAATAGAAAAAAACAAACAAACAGATGAATGGATATCCATGGAACTTCATCAAAGGACGTCTACCCCCAAGTCAACCTATCAAATAAAAGGCCCCCAAGGAAAGGACATCTCAGAAATCACTGTGAGACTTCAAATTTTCAGGAATTGATGTCACACGCAAACCAACAAAACTACTTCGCTTAGCCCTGTATCAACCAAAAGACTCAACAGCGAAAAGAGATGAAACCAACATTATCTACAAAATAAGTTTTAACAACTGCGAAAAACACTATACTGGTCATGGTTAGGACACTTTTTGGTAGAGCCACAGCGTTATGTTCAAAGGGTAAGATTAAAGAAGAACTTGCAAGTTTATATTACAATATGGAAGGGGAAGAACACTTAGATACAAACCTGAAACAGTTGAAAATAAACCAGCTTTTATCTGTCTAGCGTACAAAGTGGAAAATGTATCCACAATGTATCCAATGTATTCCACTTTACAACTCAGTGTGCTTGTTAATTCAGTTAAAAGTAGATAAGTATTCTACAAATGTCAACTTCAACTGTACTTACGAATTCACTTGCAGTTGCTGCGCATGTGTATGGGAGGAACTAAGAGAATAGAGTCTACTATATTTTCTGAGCATATGCCTAAAAGTCTTCGTATGAAAAGTACCAGAGTGTTCTTAAGTTCAATTACGAGACATCCAACTGACAAGGGACAAGAAGTGGAAATTAGTCAGGCTTTCAAAATAATCAGTACACTAAGGAAACCATGGTTATTCCATGGTTCATGGAAGCCATACTCATCAAAGTACTTTCACCTAACGTATGCATACAGAAAAATAGTGTGACTAATCTTTCACTATCCTGGTAAGCGTAACTATTTTGTTCGCGTGCAATTGTATCTTGTTCCATTGCGTGACATTCCGCTCAATTTTGATTCTGAATTTCACTGTTAAGTTTCCAAATCTACTAAATTAAATTTCTTACCCTCCTGAACTCTCCACCATAATATATATAAAAATCAGCTCTCTTGTTCTATCTTGTAATTTGTCTCTAGTACATCCTTGTTTCCAAGAGAAATCTGAACTCCACCCCCCTTGTCTAATTACTATATAAATAGTTACTGTATTAACACTAAATAATTCTCTACATACATCATCTCTGAAATTAAGTTGCTTGTACTTTTTGCCCATAACGTGAAGTCACTGAGAAAAAAAATTATGTTCAGAAATTTTGTAACTTATATTTTGATTTTGTTTAGGATGTATGTGGTTGAATAGAATCAGGTATACATAATTTAATGATACTTTCATCTCTCTTCCAAATCACCTGCTATCAAACTGTTTAATCCTACAATTTCTGGTGAATTTCTTTATTATTAATATTATTATTTCCTTTAATTCCTAGAGGAACATAGGACTTCAGCCGTGCGTCTCCATTGAGTTCGCTTCTCTGCTAGAGTCTTCACCTGGCTCCAAGTCTGCCCACACGTTTTCATCTCCTCTTCACATGGTCTCCTCCAAGTCACCCTTGCACTGACGACCAACTCGCCGCTTCCCTTTCGGTCGGGTTCCACTCGAGCGATGGCCAGTCTAGTGATGTCAATTGATGGTTTCCTCAGAGTATGGCCAGCCAATCCATCTCAATTTCTTCCTGCCTATTTGTTTCACAATCGGTTCCTTCTGAGTTGGTTCACTCCCAGAGATCCTTCTCTGTTGCTCTTCTTCTCTGGCTATCTGATCTTGAGTAGTATTGAGCGAAGACAACTGTTAATGAAGGTCCGTAGTTTGTTTGAGATGCTCTTTATGACACGCAGTGCAAGTCTCTGATCCGTATAGTAGCACTGACTGACTTCACATTGGAGTTGAAAATCCGGATCTTATTTTTGATGCTGAGTGTTGTTGACCTCCACACATACTTCAGAATAGTGAAGGCTTGTCTTGCTTTTCCGATTCTTGCTTTGATATCCTCGTCAATTCCGTCCACCTGTAGTTGAAACGATGCTTCCTAGGTGGGTAGGTAAAAGAGGTTGTTTCTACCAGGTTCCTCCCATTTATGCTGATTGTTGTCTGTTGTTGTTGTTGCTGTTGGTGATGTTGCCCAGGAATCTTCATTATATTTGTTTTCTCTATGTTCACCTGAAGTCCTATCTCCTCTGGATGCTTCTTCTGCCAACTTGTTGCTTTTCGCTTGCATATCTTCCAGTTTGTGGGAAATCAGACATACATCATCGGCGAAGTCCAGATCCTCCAAGTTCTTTGTGTGAGTCCATTTTATGCCTGTTTCCTCATTGCCCACTGTTTGTCGCATCATCCAGTCTACTGCAATCAGGAAAATCATTGGCGATAGTAGGCAGCCTTGTCTTACTCCTGTCTTAACTTCGAAGGATTCCATAATTTTCCCGTTGTGGATTACTTGGCATGCAACATTGTCGTACAGCTGTTGGATGAGATGTATAATTGTCGGTGTCACCCCGTAGTAGCGAAGTAGTTTCCAGATAACCTCTCGATCGACGCTGTCAAACACATTTTCAAAGTCGATGAAGTTGAGATAGAGAGGTGACTGCCATTCCAAGCTTTGTTCAATGGTGATCCGTAATGTGGTGAATTTCTTCACTCTCCTAAATAAAATATTCATGTGTTTCCAGGTGTGTACTGCTGTTACAATAATTTATTGAATCACTCTACTCAAAACAAATTTAATGCTCTCCTCTTTCTCCCTCTGGATAGACATGTATGACTATACTGACCAGTAGTCACTGATTAGCATGCTTTAATAAGTCATGAGAAAATAAGATTAACCAGAAATGACAGCTGAATTATAATTAGAAATGCTGACATGTTCGGTATGACATTATTGAGCATCTCAAAAGACCGTTATACCACGTCAAGTTATGCAGTATAAAGTGAAATAATCAGCATGCATAAATAATAAAATTCTTACTGTTCTTTTCTTCTAGTCCGTCGATTCCGTGAACTGTAGCATTTACAAAGCCAGTTATCGGTTCATCATCTGCAATGCAAATTGAATTATTAGAAATATTCACTGTTATTCTGGTGTGCGAGCTTGTGATTCAGGCATAAAGGATTATCTATAAGAATTACAATTTCTTTTGAACAAAAGTTGTCTGTTGTCACCAGTGTTTTCAAAAGTATAACATCTAATCACCCCATGGCTCTTTTCGACGGTTTGCCTAAACCACTGAGTTACTAGGATTTTCGTGTGCGTCCACTGTTCACTGGTAGAACACTGACCAACCAGGTGAATCGTTTGAGTTCCGATCCCCGGGTGACTCACTCCTAAACCACGCTTAACTAGTAGGAAGCCCGGTAAGGCGGGAAGGTTAAGCATGAGTCTAGCCACCCCATCCGGTAAAAAAGCACCACTGCTACTGGAACTTCAAAGCTCTAGCTTGAAGCTCTTTATTCCGGTGGGAACGCACAGGAAAGGAACAAGATATTAGAATTTCCACTCATCAAAATACTTAAGCTCTTCTTCATTTCTCACTGTTTAAACCATGCAGTTATATCCATTTGTCATTACATGAACTCGCGAACATATATAATCAGCTTCCAGCAAATGTCTGGAATTCTTGAAGGAAATGAAGAAATAAAATAAACAGCATTGTTTTTCTCTTCATATGTGACAACGCTATGCTTCCAGTTGTTACTCAGCATGTAAACTCTGTACTAAGAGGACATATTTTGGAGCTAAATACCCTGAAAATGTCTGAACTGTGTTCACATAGTGGTGAGAGCTGTCTGCAAGCCAAAATTGTAAACAACAAATTACGTCAGTGTTTACGTCCCGAATCAGGGTCATGAGAGAAAACAGAAACAAAGCCTGACCTTGAGGAAGTCAACAACCAATCATAGCAGACTTAACATGTGCAAATACGATTCGCGGAAATATCACCGGACTGTTTTTGTGAAACGGTAACAAAGAGATGGCAGAACAACCTTCAGCGAGAAAACAACTAGTCAGAAGACGTTGCTTGTCTGCTAACAATAACGAATAGTAATGTAGATAAAAATCTATAAATATCTCTTGATTTTCTCAATAAACGATCTGTTGCCTAGCCCTTGTCTTCTGTCGTTACATAATGATTTGCAGAGAAAAGGCATTTTTCTATGAAAACTAGGTGGTTCTTTGATATGTCTTCAATATGCGCTAAAATTTAAAAGATCCCTTGTGCAGAATAATAAAGAAGATTTGTAGGCACAATCCACAGTTTGTCATAGTCAGTACTAGAAACACCTAATTACGTCTGTGAATTTATGACTTTCCTCTGTTTGGATGATATCTGAATGACGCATTCAGTGGGGCTATATATTTAGTGAAATCAAAGGTGAAAAAATGTTTATCAGTGTCATTAGTTCTTCGGATTAACATTTCTTCCTGTTTTTGAAAAGTAAACAGACCGCTTCTGGTTTGATCATGAGCTGACATCAGTTAGAGAACCACTGTAAAATCTGACATGATGGACCCCACTGGTCACGGCTTCTCACTAGAACTCTGGGCAACTTTATCCTGTAGCCAGTTACTCACCGATGAATCTGGCTGGTGATCGCGCTGAAATCGCGAAGTGGTACAAGCTGGAATTCATGACCCATTAGATCGGATCTCAGTGAATGAAGGCTCTAAGAGCTTGCCTTTTGACTGGTAGTTCTTTAGTTCAAACCCTGATGGGTGCATACTGATGAAGAGTCCCAAACCAGAGAGAAACAGTTATCATCCAGTACTGCCTGGTTTTCCAACGGTTCATCTCATGACCAAACTTGAAAGAAATCAAATCCTTGCGAGTTAGCGCTTGACAGTAAGTCAACGCTTTTGGTACATTATGACTCCTTCAAACGTCATTCTGTAAACAAAGCCTCCAAAGCCTCAGGATGGTCGGGGGTGGGTGCCTTTTGCTGCGGGTTGGCCACCTCTCCGCACACCTCTTGAAATGCTCCCATATGACCGGGCGTCTTACATAGCCTCTCCTGAGAAAGTCCTACTCACTGCCTTCACGTGGCAGAGGTGTTTTTCACCAAAGTGAGAGAGCGAAAGCGGATGCCCGGCGCTCTTCACCGGGTTGACTGTCCATTGGATGACAGTCTAGGGGAGATGGCTAAACCCTGATTCCAAACCTCCAACCACTGGCATATGAAGCTCACTGGTGCTCACCGGCAGACGTATGGACAAAGGGCTTGTTGGATGTCCTGGATGTCTGGCCCCATTCAAAAAGGCGTATGAACCAAACTCCGGTCACCGGCTGCCAATGGATAATGGACTCCCTACTCCACTCCTACTGCCTTGTAGGTCACACTTGGTTGTGTAAAGGCTAGAGCTGCACTCTCAAACAAAAGGCCGAGCGATTCTGGGGACATCACTCGTACCAAATTCCCATGAAACTTCATGAACTCTCGTTCATGAAGCCGGCTCATCCTCCCGTAGGAGATAGCCGAAGTAAAGCAAAGGCAAGCATTCTGTAAACAGCATTGTATTACTGTTCATTTTATCAGATAATTACTTCTGATATAAGAAGTTTTATTCTAACTGCTGGTCATTTAATCGACATTAATCCGATTGCACATCTTTCTTGAATGTTATTACCAGAAAAAGGTTTTCTTTGCCTGAATCCCTTCCTTTTTGTTAGCAAACATAATTCATCTAGGTAAAAAAAGATGCTTTTTGCCTGTCTACTCATTTTTATCACTAGGGTTGGTAAATATTTAGTCAGCAAACTAGAGCTGATACTCAGGTAATGAAATACTTTTTTTCTCTCAGCTATTTGTTGTATTTATAAAGTATTAAATATCCCCGTAGTAAAATTTAGAACAATACATTTAAACGAAAAATATTATTTACGATTAAATCTCATCAAGCTCACTTCTAATATATGTATAAATTTACAAATAATTATTCAAATATAAACCAGTCACACTGTTTTATTAATAGGATCACAAAATTGATAGAATCTCACAGTCTATCGAAATAAAAATTTACCCATAATGGAATTACATTCTACCACAGTGCCCAAGTTTTATTTTTATATCAATCACAAAATTGTGCCCATAAGTTGTGCAATTATTCACAATAATGGTAATGATAATAATAATAATGGTGGTTCTATCGGTGACAAAGATCGGTGATAAAGTGAGGTGATCTGTGATAACAAAAATAACGAAAAACCGCACTAATAATGGCAGAGATCTAAAGAGGGTTATCTGTCTCGTCTACCTGACCTAAGCTGGATCTCTTTGACTACAAGATTTCAAAACCAGCTAGGATCGACTGTGAGAAGCAAGATGGGCGCACAATACTTCAAAATCGGTGCAGAAATCCACAGTACTCAATACAAGAAACAAAACTCGTATCCTCAACTCTAAAGTAAAGACAGTGCCTCCATTATTATTATTATTGTTTCCTTTAATTCCTAGAGGAACATAGGGCTTCAACCGTGCGTCTCCATTGCATTCGGTTCTCTGCTAGAGTCTTCACCTGGCTCCAAGTCTGCACACACGTTTTCATCTCCTCTTCACATGACCTCTTCCAAGTCACCCAGCCTCACACTGACGACCAACTCGCCGCTTCCCTTTCGGGTTCCACTCGAGCAATGGCTTGTCTAGTGATGTCACTTGATGGTTTCCTCAGAGTATGACCAATCCATCTCCATTTCCTTCTCCATATTTGTTTCACAATCGGTTCCCGCTGGGTCGGTTCGCTCCCAGAGATCCCACCCTGTTGCTGATCTTTTCTGACTGGCCATCTGATCTTGAGTATTGAGCGAAGACAACTGTTAATGAAGGTCTGTAGTTTGTTTGAGATGCTCTTAATGACGCGCCAAGTCTCTGATCCGTATAGTAGCACTGACTGACTTCACATTGGAGTCGAAAATCCGGATCTTGATGATTTTTGATGCTCAGTGCTGTTGACCTCCACACAGACTTGAGAGTAGTGAAAGCTTGTCTTGCTTTTCCGATTCTTGCTTTGATATCCTCATCAGTTCCGTCGGCCTGTAGTTGGAACGATACTTCCAGGTAGGTAGAAGAGGTTGTTTTATCAGGTTCCTCCCATTTATGCTGATTGTTGTCTGTTGTTGTTGCTGTTGGTGTTGCCCAGGAATCTTCATCACCTCTGTTTTCTCTATGTTTACCTGAAGGAAATCCTATCTTTGATGCTTCTTCTGCCAACTTGTTGCTTTTCGCTTGCATATCTTCCAGTTTGTGGGAAATCAGACATATATCATTGGCGAAGTCCAGATCCTCCAAGTTTTTGTGTGAGTCTATTTGATGCCTGTTTCCTTATTGCCCACTGTTTGTCGCATTATCCAGTCCACTGCAATCAGGAAAATCATTGGCGATAGCTAGTTAACAACTTTTTATCAAGAATATATATAGTGAAATGAGTGGAGATGGACGGATGGAGCTGGATGAAACTGATTGTAGTGTGCAGTATAGATGTTTCAACGAAGTTTTATTTTTCGCTAGGAAGGCAAGCAGTGAATTCAAATAATTTAATGTCATTCTCTCGATAAGTACTTAAAATCTCTTTGAACTCCAACGGCATGTTCACTAAGGCGTGTGTATCCAGTTGCAGTGAGTAAAACTGATAATTTCTGCACTTCAATTATTACCGACTTAATTTCTCAGTGTCGCAAGAGCATCCGACAACTGTCGTATGTTTAGCCTAGAATTGATTAACTGAACTTTGACAGCGATTGTCCATAATTAGCATAAACGTTCAGCAGTTTACATACACTAAGAATGTTAGTTATTGTATACTGCAACATCAGGAAGATTTGGTATTCCAAATGGTGAACACAAATAGACTTTATATATGCCATAATATCGTTTTCAAGACAGTTTTTCAGATGGTATCAATTCATGCAGCGATTTGTTTAGTAAATAGAGGGTTTTTTTTAGTTTCTTTTCCATCCATGAATTAATGAATACGCCAAAATCAGTAGCCTCCAGCAGTTTATGTTATTTAACTCCATAGAATTAAGACACAGGTATCTTTTGAGGTACTGTACTAAACGGTAGAATTTAGAAATCACACATCATTAGACATCATCCCTTTAGACCAGTGGTAGAGCCTTCATCTCCTTTGTACTCACTCACCCAGAGCACTTGAGGTCAGTTCAACTGAAAAAGAAAAGTATTTTCTTTGTGCTTTTTGATTATAAACAATTCAAAGAATCTATGCTTCATAGGTCATCCTGCTTCTATCTGCTTTTAGTAAGTCCTATCTATTAATAAAAAGCTATAAGTCCCTCAGATGCCTGGAAATAACAGAGGATTTTTACTACTGACCATAGTGAAGGTATTTAACTGTAAATAACAGAGTGATTTCAGTTAGTTCTTTTGATCTAGTTACTCAATAAGTTTATTTTTATGTGTAGAAATTTTGGTTTCAGTCATACTGAAGGTCCTTTAAAAATAAAGATAGAAGTGCACTGAAAATAGTCTGTGAGCGACCGTCGGAATCCTTGAGTACAGAAGTTTATGTTCGGAAGGCAAAAAGCATCCTAACATTCAGTGAATGAAGTTCAAACTGTAAGAAATAATTATTTTAGGTCGCCAGAATACTAGATCATTGAGTAAATAATTAATTGCATGACTTACTACCCAGAAGAGCGAGACCAGCTTTGTTCAGTGTAACCGTCTGTTTAATAAAGAGTAAAGCAATACGATACATTATAACATAAACAGTTAGGAGTAATTACTTGCACAGCGATTTAATAAATAAAACAGAAGAACTTTAAATAACTTTTTTTCTGGTAAGTGTCTTGAACCACTGAATTCTCATGATAATAGGAAAGGACAGGAAGTATTGTTAGAGGACTATGAAAAATGAGTTGGAAAAAGAAATCGAAACGAGGAATTCATTTCTAATCTACTTTATGACCTCGGCACAGTGTTGAAAACGGGGTAGTTGTTTAAGAAACAATTGAGTAAACTGTGGAAACACGTGAACAAAACTCTTTCATGTTGGCACTTGTGCTAAACGTCGTAAATTAGCATAAGTTAGAATTCACCGATTGCTGAATTTTGTCCCAGTATCTGAATGATCCAACGGCTGTCCTCGTGACCAGTAGGTTCTGGGTTTGATCCATAGTGAAATTGTGGGTGAGTATTGTCTGATTTTCAATGATTTACCGAATGAAGTCAATTCATGATCAAACTTCCAATCAATCAAATTCCTGTGTAACAGAGACATTGTCTGGAAATTCCCTCCTGAACGACCTAATCACAATATTTATACTTATTTGGATGTTTCAACTGACGTTGTAATTATGTTCCTTTTTTTCCAAGACTGTATTTCATTGTTCTGACATTTGCATATCATATTTCGACTTGATCCTTATTGCTTATCTCTGTTTATGCTTAATGCTTAATCTTGATGTGCGTCGGTGGCACAGTGGTTAGGACTCTCGCCGACCATGCATATGGTCCGGGGTTCGATACCCTGCCAACGCACATCCGATATCTATGGTTGGCCTGCAAAATTTGGGCTACCGATATCCGTGCTGAAAATTCCATACTTATACTGAAAATACGGTGTGGAATCAAGCTGTAATCAAAATTTAAAAAAATAAAAAAAGCTTCTCTTTGTGGTTGTGTGTGGATACTTATAGTATGTTGTTTTACGATGTGATTTTATTTGTATGTTAAAGTGATTCTAACCTTGGACTATCTACTGGAAGCGATTCTTGTGGACAGAGATTTCTACCCTGCCAACATGGAAATATTCCACTTGATTCTAACTCCTTGCTTTGTACTTAGAAAATGATCGTGCGCTTACAGCTGCCTAAGAGCACTGTTGAGTTTTGTATGATGTTAATATCGTTGAGTAGAACCATATGAATATAACCACATATACTTGTCTTTTTGTTGTATTTGGGTCTACAGGTAACTGGGCTCCGCACAAGGAAGTTTTCTCAGCTATGCCTTAGGAGGTAGAGAGCGGTTTCCTGAGTTCAATGAATGAAATTAGTCATTTCTAAAGTATTTCTTGATTCTTCCTATTATTCTTCATTGTTGTATTTTTAAAATAATATTTACTAAAATATTCCACGCTTTTTTCAAGTCAGTATTACGGGTTTAATCATTAGATCCTTCTGGGCTCGTTAGTGAGTCGTTGGTTCACTGGTAGAACGCTCGCCAATCATGCATGTGATCCGGGTTTCGGTCCCTGGCAGACCCGCTGCTAAACTTTCCTTGGCCGGTAGTGAGGCTGGCAAAGAGGCAGAGCTGGCTATAAGGCTACCAATGCCTTTCCGTGACAATGCAAAAAGAAACCACTGCTACCAAAAATTCGGAGATCTAGCTTGAAGCCCTATGTTCCACTTTGAAATGTAAAGGAAAAGGTCAGCAAATAAATCTTATGTAGTCAAATTTGTAAATACATTTGTGACATTTTCAACTGACTACAATGCTAACTTACGTGCTCATATTTTTTTAACCGTTCATTTAATTCTGTCAGAGTTGGATTACGATTTCGATTAGATGCTTGAGGGTTTTCTGTATTGACTTTTTCTAAAGCATTATCCACAGATTCAGTTCTAACAGATGATTTATTTTCTGATTGTTGTTCCATGGCAGTTCGCCAGTGTGCTCGTTCTCTTTCTGTTGAAAGTAGAATATTGTGTACACGCCCATTTTTATCAGCAATTGGTAATATGAGTTGAGGAGTTTCCAATACAAGTTTACCTTCCTGTCAGTGAGATAGAAAAAAACTGTGATGAATGAAATTACATGCATTCTGTACAAAAATAAAATGAAAATGTGTAAACTGAAATTAATTTCCTCCTGGTGCCAGAGTCTCGTGTTGTTTATCGTTTCCAGCCACTCATCTGACATTCAATATCAAACGGAGGCAATTGTGGATTAAAGTCTGCATTTGTCTATTGGGAACGCCTTCCATAAAGCGTATGCTTAGTCTCTGAACCATATAAAAGCGCTGAATCAACGTAAATGTAAAGAATTTGTATCTTGTCCTGGGTACAATGAATAACCACACTAATTTCAGAAAAGCTAGTATTCATGCTGGTGTTCAAAAAATACTCATGATAATTCCAAGGGACTTATCTCAGTACGCAATGCTGGCACACAGATGCTCTAATTCATTAAACAATATTGGGAAGCTATGCAGTAGAAACAAGATATAAGTTAATCTCACAATTTTTATGAGCATTGATAGAGTTTAAGAGGACTGGTAGGTATAATGAAGCAGTAGATCAGAGCCTGACATTATGTATTAGCGAATTAATGTTTTACGGGTTTAACAATGAAGTGACAGAAGTTAGAGAACCACTGAAAACCAGCTGGAAGTACTGGACAGCTGTTTCGTCCTGGTTTGGAACTCTTCCTCAGTACGCACCCACCGGGGTTCGAACCCAGAGAATTTCCGGTTGAAGGGTGAACTCGAAGACTATTCAGCCTCTGGGACTCGATCCAGTGGTCCATGAATTTCAACTTCTACCAATTAGCAATAATTCTTATTTTATACCTCTGCGGAATTTAAGATTCGAATACGGTGAATATAAATTTAGTGCACACAGCTAATTTATATGGCCATCGATAAACATGTAGAAAGGGGTATATCTCTATTTAACGTAGCTTTTATTTTTAGACGAACCCCAAGGAGATCATGTTGACCTTGTGGTGGGAGCTGTCTGCTTGCCGAAATTGGTAGACAGCAATTTAAGTCAATGTGTACTTCCCAAATCTTGATGATGAGAAAAACAAGAACAAAGACTTTGCGTGGGCGGATACGATTCGTAGAAATATGGTCTGACCTTCAAAGAAACGGCCACAAAGAGATGACAGATTAGCTTTCAGCGAGAAAACAACCAATCAGAAGACTCTATTTATCCGCTAGTAATGACGAATAATAATGTACATAAAAATCTATAAATATCTCTTGATTTCCTCAAAAAAACGATCTGTTGCCTGGCTGTTGTCTTCTGTTGTTACAACCTTACACTATGGTGACGAGTGTCTGATGGTATAGTTGCACTTTTCACAGCTAACGAATCTCAGTTTCATACTTCTCAATACTCTTCAATTTATTTTTCCGGTTAGTTTTGCCATGATGACATATCTTACAGATTTTATTTAATAGATATCTAATTAGCATGAACAGATAATCATCACTTCAGTCATTTGCTTAATACTTTTTAATTTCATTGGAAATTATGTTGGAACTTCCAATTTTCAGTATTCGCTTTTCAAAACATTGACTAACGTCGTCAGATTATGTGCAGGATGTTGGTACTCCTTGACTGAGTTGACTAGAAGACAATTCAATGAAGAAAAGTAATCTTATGCTGTACAATGTTCCCATTGCTACACCATACAAGTTGACGAGCTAACAATAATTCATCAAAAAAATAGTCTCTGTATACAAACTGGGATTTAAACGCCACATTACTACAGATATTCTTCAAGGATGCCTCTTTTATACTCTCAACAGAGTCAAATGGAGATTCTCTTGTTGCTTCTTGATGCAACTAACTGATTTATAAGAGAGCAGCCTGATGTGCATGCTATTATCATCGTTTACATACATGATCGCCATATTCTGTTAAAGTTGCATCCGTTCTACCGTTAGCTCAAATTTTAAGTGTTTTATTAAATAACTACCTAACTTGCTTACTTCGACTTTGAAAATGCTTTCGGCAGAGATGATCATGATGAAATTTGGGAACTACTTCAACACTATGGACTGCACCACCCCAAATCTTTATCAGCCTCATTCAGCAGCTGTGTGACAATACCATATGCCAAGTAATCCAAAGTGGGAAAATTAGTGAAGCCTATGAAGTAAAAACGGTAGTAAGACATGGTTGCATACTGCCACCGACGACGTTCCTAAATGTAGTAAACTGGATTATGCAACACACCGTTTGTGGAGAGCGAGAAGACAGGGAATACAGTGTACTGATTAAAAGACTAGACTGTTTGGACTTCGCAGATGATTAAGGTCTAATTTTATACAAATCCTAAGACTTACTGCAGAAACGAACAAGTTGGCAGAAGAAGCAAGTAACAAACACAGAACCTCATGTGAACACAGAGAAGGCGGAGGTGGTGAAGATACCCATCGACCAACGATAACAAACACTAATCACTATCAGCGGGAGAAATTTGAAAGAAGTCTCCACTTTCGACCTATGAAGGTAGCATCCTTTCAACTGCAGGTGACAGAATGGGTGAGGATGTCAACACTAGAATCGGGAAAGCAAGGTAGATCTATGTCATTCTGGAATCAGTATGGAAATCATCTGCACTCAGAATAAAGAACAAGATTCAAATTTTCAACATTTGTGTTATGGCAGTTGCTTCTTCTAAGCTCGTCAGAGACTTAGCTTGCGCGTCACGTAAAGCATTTCCAACAATCTACTGCAGACTTTTATCACCAACTGCTTTCCCTCCATAGTGAAGATCAGATGGCGGGGGAGAATTAGCTGCAAGAAACTCCGGGAAAAAATAACGAATATGACGAGGAAAATGGAGATGGGTCGGACACACTGAGGAGACCACTGAGTGGCATCACGTGCCAGGCCCTTGACTGAATCCCGAGTGGGAAACAACTAGCTTGGTGTGCTTTCGATGATGATATGTAGGAGATCATGTGAGGAGATGAGATCCCATAGCTAGTTGTAGGGCCAAAGGAAGAGCACTTCAGAGAACAGGAAAAAATGGAGATGCTCTGCTGAACCCTTTTTCCCACTCAAAATCCGAAGGAACAGCAATAATATAACTTAATTCAACAATACTAAGATTTCGTATATGAGCTCCATATTTCACATTTTCACGTGTTGACATGTTAGTTTCCCAAGACAATTACCAATTAATGAAGAAGTTTCAGAGTTCAGAAAGCGACATGCTCCTATATCTAAATAAGTCGTTAATGTTCGCTACCTTGTGAGTGAATTGAAGAAACTTTCGTCAACATGTAGACTCTTTTGAATCCTGGAGTGCACCGATAAATTCTGTGAAGTTTTCTTTCATTAAGGAATCACATTATTCGGAATTTCACGATAAGAGGGATATTCAATCGCCCTATGATTTTATACAGACGTAAGATATACTTTTCTTACTAGTATCATTTTGTTTGTTATCACAATTGCAAGTTAATTGAACTAGTTTAAGTCTTTCACGTCAAACCATTTACACCAATGATTAAGGTCAAATGAATAAAAGTAATATACGCTTACTAGTTTACTTAGATTTGTTAATTTTGATGTATTTTTGGATGGTCTCCTATCCTAAACACAAAAGATAAGTAAAATGAATATGAGAAAACAAATAAAAGATAAAACAAGTACAGTTCATTGGAAATAGAAATAAAACTTACTAACTACAGAGTATCTGAAAATCATGGAGCAAATGACTCTTGATATTTTTGAGTAGATGCTGTATGGCCTCAGGCTTCAGATATTCAGTTCTGGCATAGAGCGAATTGCATTTAGACTATACTTTCTGTGCTTCGGTGGCACAGTGGTTAGGACTCTCGCCGACCATGCACATGGTCCGGGGTTCGATCCCCTGCCGGCGCACACCCGATATCTATGGTCAGCCTGTAAATTTGGGCTACCGATATCCATGCTGAAAATTCCATACTTGTACTCAAAATACGGTGTGGAATCAAGCTGTAATCAAAATATAGAAATAAAAGTTACAAGGTGTCATCTTTCTCAAGAACTGTCACTTTTGTGAATATGGTGAGCATTATTCTATCTGTTAATGATTAATTGTTCACTGACATGACTCGTTTGATTAACCTAGTAACTCCTATTCTTTAAAAAACCTATAAGTTCATTCTAAGGCCAGTACTCAATTATCATAGAGTTGGTATGCAGCAGCGAGCTTATCTGAATATTTTGACTACTCTTCTGGTCAATATCGAGTCATATCGTCGAAAAATATTCTCAAGCAACTGTTATACGTAAGATGTCTTACGAAACTACTGAAAATCAAGGAGTAGCGGTTATCCGTGTGATCCTAGCTTAAGATTTTGCAGAGACTTGCACCTGTGCTGACTCCACCAAGAACCCAACTGTGAACCTCTAGGTTACTGGGTGAATGCATTACTGTTTAGTCACTGGGTATAAATTTCAACTTCTGCCAATTCTCCATTAATATTCAGCGAAATGATAGCCCGAATGTGATAGTCAGAATTACAATGTTAGCAATAGAAATATGTCTGTCAAAAAAAATTAATTATCTCTTATTCTTCATGAAGCTTAATTAACTAACTTGTAAGAATACTCAAAGATCACACAAAATTTCTTCAAAATGCATACTGATAATAGTAGCTTGGTTTCACACTTTGGAAGGATAAATTAGTTGTGAGGAACTAAACAATAACTTGCCAAATTGGTGTTTATTCCAAGTTAAATGTCAGGATTCCGTTGGTGTCTAAACAAGCCACCTGTCGACTACATCAACTTTCAGTGTTTCATAATTATAATTAATACTTCTTTTTATGATTGTGTGTACATTGGAAATGTGTTGTTTTGTGATGTGATTTTGTCTGAGCGAATCAAGTTCATGCTGACACTGAAGTGTCTACTTGAAGGATTGTCGTGTGATTATTGCTAACAGAGGTTTTGATCCCATCTTAGTGGAGTATTCCACTTGATTCTCAGGCTAATTGTTATTTAATAGACAAAAGACAAGTAGTTCAACGAAGAGTCTCTTTTCGGAGGATTCATTTTCATAGCTGTACAATCGCAAATATATATGGTTGTTTTGTATGTGTGTGTACATTAAATTTGTCAAACGAAAATACAATTAGTAAGTTCAGATGAATTGGATGTTGATATAAGAGGGTAGTAACAAAAGTGATGAGTTGTCACAAACGATTGATAAAGAAAAGTTTCGTAATAACATGAATAGTTTGATGAAAGAGTTGTACTCAGGGTGTACATGGAATTATGCAAGGGTTTTAAGTAGTTAGAAAAATAAACATACAAACAAAAGTTAAGGCAAATCAAGCAAACAAACAAAAGTAAGGTCAAATCAACGGAGTGGTTACCATGAGAGTAGAAGTGGTTGAATAATTCTCTTTTGTATGCATACTTTGGTTCCTACAGCTGAATGGCCAGGGCTTCTGCGATGCAAAGAAGGCGGAATCGTACCGTCTTTCGGAAGGTTGTTCTTCACTTTGTAGATTACTTTGAAGGAGGCGTTTGTTGAAATGGAATGACCAGCGTTGACGAGGTGTCCGATTATTGCACTCCTTATGCAGCCGCGCTGGATAGTGTTCTTTGACCCTTTTTGACAGGATGCGTGTTGAACGACCGATGTACCTGTCTCCACAGCAACAGGTGAACTGATATATACACATTGAAGGGGTCAGGTGTGGGATCATGTCCTTTTGGGTTTCTGAAGATCAGTGGGCGACTAGAGAACACTACTCTCAATGTTGTCACAAAGAAAGTTCTTCCTAAAGAGGTGGAGATTCTCCTTCTAAGGACGTCACTGAGAGGTCTCCTTTGAAGTCGAGGTTCATATAAAGTATCTGTTTTGGCACGGATGCTGTCTCTTGCTTTTGAATTTTTTTGTTTGATGTTTTTGTCTACGAATCGTGATGGGTAACCGTTTTGTATGAAGGTTTCCTTCAGGAAGTTTAGTTCTTCTTCCAGGGTATCAGAACTGCAGATGCGTCGGACGCGAGTGGCAAGAGATCTAATTAAGTTTCTTTTCCGACTGATTGGTATCCAACTGTAGAAGCTTGTCAGTTGGCCGTTCCATGTGGGTTTCCTATGGATGGACCTTCTTAAAGTTCCGTCAGCTCTCCTTGAAAGTTCAACATCAAGAAAAGGGATTTTAGATTCGTTTTCAATTTCAAGAGTGAACTTTGTGGCTGGGTGGCATTTATTGAATATTTGCAGTAACTGATTGAGATCGTGACCGTCATCACAGATAATAAAGATGTCGTCCACATATCTAACATACAGTTGGAAATTGTCAATAGCTGATTTGAGTGGGCCATTCTCAAGGCTTGCCATGAAACAGTCTGCTAGTAATGGGCCCAGTGGAGATTCCATTGCGATCCCATCTTGTTGTCTGTAAATAACCTTGTTGAATGTGAATTGTACATTGAGTGTGCATCTCAGCAGTAGTTCTTTTAAGTAAGTCGTCGGTAATCCAATGTTCAGCTGATTTTCGTCTATGTATTGACAAATGTGACAGACAGTTTCTGTGAGTGGAACGTTGGTAAATAGTGACTCAATGTCGAGAGAGAGCATATTTTTGTTCTTTACATTGATATCTTTGATGTGATCGACGAATTGGAAAGTGTCACGAAGCGAATAGTGGTACATTCGTTTTTGTACAGGTTCTAAAATTTCAGCTAGCCATTTCGTTATTGGATGGTATGGGGAACCTGACATATCGAGAATTGGACGAAGAGGGAGGTTGGCTTTATGTATCTTTGGTAAGCCGTACAGTCTTGGTATTATTGATCCTGTCGGTCGGATCTGATCATAGACTTCATGACTGATCAACTTTTCGGTTTGCATTCTCTTAAGGACATCGGTGAGTCGTTATTAAATCTGTTCTGTTTTGTTTCTTTCATTGGGTGGTTGCGAAAATTTTGTTTTGTCTGACAAAATAATGTTCATTTTCTCAATATAGTCTTTCTTGTCCATAAGGACTATGCCAGCTCCTTTATCTGGACGGGTTATTAGGAGTTCTTTGTTTTGTTTCAGTTGATTTAATTTTTCTCTATGTTGTCTTGTAAGGTGATTGTATACTTTTGGTTTTGTATGCAGATACTGATAACAGCAATCAGTTATTGTTGATTTGAATCGCTGCATTTCTTGTTCGGAGGTCGGAGTTAAATTATTTGTTTGGGTGATTAAGTTTTCGAATTGTACATGAGTATGTAGTCTGTTGGCGTTTAGGCTGATGTCGCAGAATTTTGGACCCAAGGATAGGGCTTCTAACTGCAGGTTGGATAAAACTAATGAAGAGTAGTTAAATACGAACTTTGAGGGGTTTTTAGGAAACTGTTTGTGTGCTTTGATGGATTTGAGGCTTTTTGTGAGTTGCGATATAGTAGATTGTGTCCGTTTTTCAGTGACTGTATTGACGTATTCCGTAAACCTCTGAGTTTCACTAGGTAGCAGATCGTGGAGGGCTGGGGACCTTTGTGAAATGTCGCGTTGTAGTTCTGGAAAACGTGCTTTAATAGAGTCGATAAGATTTAATGCATGTCTTCTGAGGGATTTTGTGTTGGGATATATGGAACTTCTCAGTGCTTTCCAAAACCACTTTGGATATTCGGGATTGATGATACAATCGCTGAAAAGAGACTCTTCTCTGAACTACTTGTCTTCTGTCTATTAATGTTAGAATGAGAATTTTTCATAATTTTTATTTAACAAATTTTGTTCTACAGTACTTGCTTTGTGCTAGGAACTAATCTGACATATATAGCTGCCTAAGAGCATTGTTCAGGTTAATTTTGAGTTATTGTTGATACGTACTGAAGATTTCATTTTAAATAACTGTCTTTCTGTTATTGTCGTGGCATTTTGTGATTGCACTTAACCCAAGGAAGTTTTAGTCAGCTATACAGTAGAACGCGAAGATCGGTTTCCTAAGTTCAGATCACAACACATCTATTTTGGTCGTGACAATGTTAGTTAAATGCATAATAAAATCAGATAAACCTTCCTGTTCAGAAGAAATTCATACATGAACTTTCTCTACCTTGGCCATAATTAAATGAATGTAAAATGCTGACAATCTCCTCCTAATCTTGAGATATTTTGGAAATTATTATTGCTATTTTAATTATCTTACAATTCTGCCTTCCTAATCCTGAACTGTTTCTTATTTAATCAGTTCGAACACTGATTTACTCCTTCTCTCAAAAACTATACATCATGTAACCGCTTGTTTAATTTTCACAAACATTTTTATCCTTCAATTGTTGCGTTAGTTATCTTAATTTGTCCAATATTCATTTTCGTGATGCATTCATGCACATTATTTTTTTTATAAACGCATAGAGAAGACGGATGTGATGAAGATAACCAATCAACAGCAGAAACAACAACAGCCAGAGCCAATCACCATCAACTGGAGAGATTTAACAGAGGTTACCTCCTTCATTTATCCAGGAAGCATCATTTCAACTACAGATGGGACGGATGAATCTGTCAAAGCCAGCCAGCTATAGTCGGAAATGTAAGATACGCCTCCATCCACCTGAAACCAGTCTGGAAATCTTCTGCACTGCACTTCGCAGCAT